AACCCCATAGAAAATCTCTGGTTGGGATTTGAAGAAGGTAGTTGCAGCAATAAAGCCCAAGAATGTTACTGAACTGGAGGCAATTGCTCATGAGCAAATGGCTAAGATTCCTCAGATGCTGGTGTCTGGCTATTTATCTTGTTTGCAGCAAGTCTCTACAGCAAAAGGGTGCTCTACTAAGTAAAAAAAGATGCTTTCCATGAAAGGGTTGAATAATTTAGAATTTGATTTTGTGGAAACCATTTAAAGCATTCCATAAAGATGCCATTGGTATAAGCCAGTGGTTCCTAACCCAGACCTCAAGTAACCCCTAACAGTCCAGGATTTAGGGATTACCCAGTTGTGTCTAAGGTGTTTAAAAAAAAAAAAAACACTTTAGACACAACAGGGTAATCCCTAAATCCTGGACTGATAGGCAGGGACGTATCTTACACAAGGCAAGCAAGGCATCAGGAAGATTAAAGCTCCCTCACCGCCTATTCAGCCTGTCCACCCCCTGCCTGCCTGACCAGCAGCCCCAATGGATCGCAGGTAAGCAATCCAATCCAGCTCTCCCAGGGAGGCTGGGTGGATTTAAATTAAAATTTTAAAAAATAATAATTTGTGAGTGTTGGTGGAAATGTGTGTGTATGTCTTTGAGTGAATGTGTGTGTGTCTAAGTGAATGTGTGTGTGTGTGTCTGTAAGTGTGTGTGTCTAAGTGAATGTGTGTGTCTGTGAGTGAATGTGTTTGTGTCGGTCAGTGAGTGCGTGCTTCTGTCAGTGTGTGCGTCTGTCAGTGCGTGCATCTGTCAGTGAGAGTGTGCGTCTGTAAGTGAATGTGAGTCTGTCAGTGTGTGTCCGAGTAATAGTGTGTGTCTATCAGTGTGTCAAATCAGTGAGTGTATGTGTATGTAATTATTTGTCAGTGTATATGAGAGTGTGTGTCTGTCAATGAGTGTATGCATCTATCAGTGAGTGTGTGCGTCTGTCAGTAAGTGTTTGCGTCTGTCAGTGAGTGAGTGTCTGTCAGTCAAAGTGCGGCCCTGACAGGCAGGGGTGAGGAAAATTTAAATTAGGGGGAGGGGAATGCCCGATCACCATCCTGCCTAAGGCAGCAGAAATCCTAAATACACCACTGCCAGTAGGGGGTACTTGAGGACTGGGTTGGGAACCCCTGGTATAGGCTATTTCCCACACTGACAGACAATCACTTCCGCTACAGACTGGATGTGTGCGAAAGCTTTCTTCTTCTCAGGGCGGTAGAGGTGAGTAGGTTGTCAAATGCCAATTCACGTTTTCCTTAAAAAAAAATGAAATTCCATTTTTTTTAAAATGAATTTACTCCTGCTGCTCCCCCTCTTTTAAAATACCTTTGGTTGTAGTGGCTACCTCTGCAGACACAAACTACCTTTAAATTATTATTTTTTTTCCAGAATTTCTAAAAGTATATTAAAAAAGCTGTAATGTTTTAAACACCTTTCATTGTAGTGGTTTCACCCAGCCTAGCTGAGTCTTGTGCTGTTACTACACCTGCTACACTACACCTTACTATACCTCCTAACACTGCTAGACTCAGTTAATAGAAGTTCATAGGGTACCGTGTTTTCCACACTGAAAAACAGTCACTCACGCTACAGACTGGATGTGTGGGAAAGTTTTGTTCTTTGAATGGTGGAAGTGGCAGATTGCTTACATGATTACAAAAGGAAAAGCAATCAATCATTATAAATCATTCAAGTTCTCTCACTAAATTTTTTTTAATACATATATAATAATATAATGCGGGGGCGGGGCCTGGCCGCCGACGGGATCAAACGCGTTCTGTCTGAGCTCCTGCTCCAGGGCCGAAAGTCAGCGCAAATTGGAGGTTAACCGCGACCGGCAAACCCCACCGACGACCACACAGACCCCAAGTCATTGGGGAGAACGGGGATACCGCATGGGAGCCTGTCCGGCACCGACAGTAACCTGGCTGGGCTCAGAGCTCGTTTGGGCTTGAGCCGGGATGGGATGGCCACTCTCCCGGGTATCCTGGCCGGCGGCTAGCGTCCGTCCCCCCCCCTTTGGGCCGGGGGGGTTATCCCAGTCTGCAGCAGCACCAACCTGGGCCTATTCAACCACCCTGGCGGGGAACATCACCCAGGCGCCAATCCACAAGATGGCCGCCTCCATGTGCGCGAGCTGCTAGAGCGATCGGGCTGATACCACACTGACAGAAACCAGGGCGGACTGTTAACAACAACGGCACAGCTTTATCTACAGCCACCCACCAGTCAGCACCCTCGGACCTTAACCAGCAACTCACCTCCACCATGATAAGACTCAGTAAGACCTCCCGTGGGGCAGGGAAACAAGGAGACCTCTGTGTTTCTATGACCCACAAATCGGCTGCCCGCAACCACAGACACACACACCATGACAGACACACAAACACCATGACTGACACACACACCATGACACAGACAGACACACACACCATGACAGACAGACAAACACACACATACACACACCAAGACAGACACACACACCATGACAGACCCATACACTCACACTGACAGACTGACTCAAACATTATTGCTACCTGTGGGGTCCAGTGGGCGACTGGCCAGGGGATTGTGCAGGGCGGCATGCTGTGTGGTTGCGCAGGGCGGACGGTTGGCTGCGTGTACAGTGAGCTGTGCCGTCTCTGCTCTGCTCCCAAGTGCGCAGCTTAATGAGACCGGGGCCGGAATTACATCATATTCCGGCCCCAGTCTCATTAAGTAGCATTTGAGCGCGGGGGAGCAGAGCAGAGACAGCACAGGTCTCCCTCCAGCCGTCAGCAGCCTAATTGCGGCCACACAAGCTGTCTGTCCGGCCCCAGGTGCTGCGGGATACTGGGAAATTTCCTGGTGGGCCAGTGCAGCCCTGACCTCAAAAAGATCCATTATTACCGCCTTTTCAATGTGAATAGCTCCAGAGTAATTATGTTCTCCTGCAAGGAGTACTGCTGTACAAGGACTTGTCGAGACTTAGTGAAGGGTAAATAAGAACTGTTTTTATTGAGTCAAGCACAAAGATTTATACCCAGGCCCCCAGCACGAGATCTCCATTCATTAAAACACAAGCCCACTCAGGTGCCTCTGTGCCTGTGAGATAATTGAGTCAGCTCTTAAATTCATGTATCTGCCCGATACAAGAGAGCAACACATAAAACACCCCAAAACACATCTAATAATTCCGAGCACCCCTACATGCCATATATTCCCGAAAAGGTCTGTCTTGAACGCCCATTCTGTCCACAAGGTGCATGGGTCAGTTGTGACTAGCCAGAATTAGATGGAAGTCCAAAGTTCAGCGGGACACGGCTACCCTCCGATTCCAGCGCAGAATTCCAGAGTGTGGGGCGGAGTTCCCCGGTCACCTAAAAACACATCGATTTCTGTGGGCACATGGAGCTTTCCCAAGTCCTTGGTGTCATTCTATGACTCTCCACCACCTCTATTAACCCTTTCAAAAAGCGCCCTGATTGAGGGTCCAGGGACCAAATGCACTCTAGTTAAAGTTTTAGCGGATCACGATGACTCTGCGATTTGCTTTAGACTTCAAGGATAATTTAGAGTTTCTCCTAGTCAGGCGCACCATGTCTCAGCGGCCCCCAGGAGGAGGACAGACGATTCTGGACAGCCATTGAGGGGCACAGGGCTAGGGGACATGGGCTGGAGAGTTAGTTCCTGGGGAAACATGTACCTGCCTTACAAACACAATCACTAATATGAACATTTACTGTTTACACATTGTTGCACACATAGTTACCCATATTACCACACTGACACACAATCATCAATGCACACACTAAGTGACACAAACACACTCACATAAATTAATTAGCACATACTGACATACATGCACATAAAGTGACCCATGGAAACACACTGCCACACACAGGGACCAACACAAACACACTGCCACACAGAGAGTAAACAACTCAAGCACAATGACACACACAGGGGCCAGTGCAAGCACATAGACACGCACAATGACACTTACACTTTCTGACAGACACACAGTGACCAATGCAAACACACTGACAAATACACAGTGACCAATACAAAGACATTGACCAACATTCAGTGACCAATACAAACACAATGATACACACAGGGACCAATACAAACACAATGGTACACACACAGGGGCCAATACAAACTTACCGACACACACACAGGGACCAATACAAACACACAAACTCACTATGACCCAAACACACATAGTGACCTATACACACAAACTGAAACACACGCACACAGGAATCAACATAAACACACGGACACAACAGTGACCCATACACACACACTATATCATACACACATTGACACATACATAGTTCCAGATATGCTGAAGCCTCTACCTAGCCTACCTACCTAGTCATAATGTATCCTGGCAGCTTTCAGCTCTGTGCATTGCAATGAGAGGCTGGCCATCTTAGGGTGCATTGGCCTGAGGGTGCAAGATCTGGATCACCAGCTGCAGCTGCTAGGGCCCATAGAGTGACCCAAGAATTTAGGGCCACCCGATGGGCCCTATATCTTCAGGTGCCCGGTCAGTGCTGCAGCTGTATAATAGCGCGACCGGATCCCGCGCTGTCGGAGAGATCACCAGGCAGTGAAGAGGGAGAGCCAGCCGACTGTCATCAGCCCCAGCCACCCTCCTGGGGCTGAAAAGGTAAGAAACAGGAGGGTGGCAGAAACATTAGCTGTATGTGTGTGTCTGTGTATGTCAGTATGTATATGTATTGTGATAAAGTGAAGGCAGATAGGCCTATAACATTTAACCCCAGGGGGAGTATGTGTAGGATGTGTTGTAGGCAACACAAAACACTGTTTAGTTATGGGCCCCTGGGGTGGAGCATTTGGAGAGAAGGGTGGGCCAATGCTCCACTCCACAGTTTAGTGGTTTTCTGGGGAGACATAGATCCAAGCCAGGGTTTTTTGGACCGTCTCCAACCCACTGCTCAGCTGCAGTTAATGAGCTGTTGCAGTGGGAATAAACCCCTCCCGGCTAGGCAGAGAAAAGAGAGGGATTGCTGGCTTCCTCCCAGGAAGCAGGTAGGAGAGAGGCTGTTCTCTCCATATAGAGAGTCAAGGAGACTAGGCACTGGGAATGCAGAAAGGAAGCAGTCAAGGCTGGCTTGGAGCACTGGGAGTGCAGGAGGAAGCAGTCAAGGTTGGCTTGGAGCACTAGGAGTGCAGAAAGGAAAGCAGTCAGGGCAAGGCTGGCTTGGAGCACTGGGGGTGCAGAAAGGAAAGCAGTCAGGGCAAGGCTGGCTTGGAGCACTGGGAGTGCAGAAAGGAAAGCAACAGGCTAGCTAGCAGAGTGTTGCTATCTAATAAGGTTGGTGCAATATTGTTTTGTTTAGTTTAACCCTGAGAGATAGGGAACCTAATGTCAGTTAGTGCTCAGACGAGCTAGGTTTTTGTTTATAGGGTTTTCTGTTACATTTATGTTTTCATTTACTGCTGTATCCTGTGTGACCTTACAAATAAAGTGCCTGGAGTATATGCAATTACAAGGACTGTGCATGTTTTTGCCCTAGAGGACCGTGCTACCTGCTGACAAGGATCACAGTATGTATGTATGTCAGTCTGTATTTCAGTATGTATGTCTGTCTGTCAGTATGTATATGTATGTATGTGTGTCAGTTTGTATGTGTGTGTATGTATGTCACTATGTATTTATGTGTGTGTCTTTGTATGCCCTAATGCGTGTGTGTCTGTATGTATGTGTCTGTGTGTCACTATGTATGTCTGTGTCTGTATATGTGTGTATATGTCTTTTTCAGTATGTGTGTCAGCAGGGCTACCACCAGAAATGTTGGGGCCCCTGACAAAGCACAAGGTCTGCCTCCTCCTCCCACCCACAAGTCCGCCCACAGGACTCCTACGTAGTCCGCTGACAATGATGGAGGACTGTCAGCTGTGTATTAGACGCAGTGTCTCTGTATAGTGAATGCAGAGTGTTTGAAGGTGTGGTGGATGCAGTGTGTGTACTGTGAATACAGGATGTTTATGTAGTGGATGCTGTGTGTATAGTTAATGCAGAGTGTATGTTATTGTAGTGAATGCAGAGTGTGTGTCAGTGTGGTTGTGACAGATCCATCTGTATAATCTGGGATTGCTGGTTCGTCTGTTTTGCCGTTTTCGTGGAATTACTCATTCGTATGCCTCTGTTCGTATAATTGACGTTTTTGCCGAACAAAACTACCGAACGGACGGCCACCCAGAAGAGAAGTGTGCTGCTTGTTAACCTCTTGATCCCAATTAGAATGTTGTGGTTAACCGCAGACACTTCTCAATTAAAACCGAATACAGGGTGGTCGTCGTTCGTATGTCGACCACGAGGCGGCGGCCATTTTAAACCATGCGAAAGACCAGCGGTGTTCGGCATTGATTTCATGGAACTGAAAACGGACACTTTTTCTGCCGAACACCGCTGAAGCCGCCGACCTCCCTTCTCAATCGACAGAAGTATACGAACACCGGCCGTTCGGGAGTTTTAAACGCACGAATGGACTTAACCCAGATAGCCTTCCCATGGAGTCAATCGCATACCGAAAGACTGTAATAGACTTTGACTCCATGGCGATTGAACTATACGTATGGGATCTGAGCGCTATTCGCCAATAATATGCACTCAGATCCAGGCTATCTGGGGATATGTGATACGAATGGGAAATGTTCGACAATTGTAAAGTTATATATTTTTATGTGTTTTTTGTGTTGAATTTAAAATGGTGATTTGCCTCTGTCCTGGAGATAATTGAATTACTTCTCAATTATCTCCAGGGCAGAGGGGAGGAAATCATAATGCATGCTGGGAATATTCTGTGTCTGTGGGTCCTACCCTGCCATATGTCTGTCTATTGTTACAGTCTCCCATTTGGTCCCCTAGGGGAGTGTCCACCAAGTGGGAGACCTGCATAAATATGGGCAGGTAGCCCACAGTAAAGCCAGTTCATGTTTTACCCTCAATGCGGAGCTTGGACTCATTGGGGGGGATTTATTACCGACGACTAGAGACTGCCGGATGGGATTATTAGCCGCTTGGGAGATATATGCGTTCGGCTACTATTGGCGATTCGCGAGTTTGGAGCTCGTGAAGTGAAGTGCCCGTACGGGTCCCGTTCGTGAGATTACAGCATTCCCCTGCTTGCGGTTCGTATGATTGTACTTGATACGCATGAAGCCTGTGTTATTGCGAGAGGGGAGGATTCACTAAACGGCGGTTTGTGCATTTGATGCTGAGGGTACCGTAACAGTGGTGGATGCAGTGTGTTAGTGTAGTGAATGCAGCATGTTAGTGTAGTGAATGCAGAGTGTGTGTCAGTGTAGTGGATGCAGTGTGTTAGTGTAGTGAATGCAGAGTGTGTGTTAGTGTAGTGAATGCTGAGTATGTGTTAGTGTAGTGAATGCAGAGTGTGTGTTAGTGTAATGAATGCAGAGTGTGTGTCAGTGTAGTGAATGCAGAGTGTGTGTTAGTGTAGTGAATGTTGAGTATGTGCTAGTGTAGTGAATGCATAGTGTGTGTCAGTGTAATGAATGCAGAGTGTGTGTCAGTGTAGTGAATGCAGAGTGTGTGTCACTGTAGTGAATGCAGAGTGTGTGTTAGTGTAATGAATGCAGACTGTGTGTTAGTGTAATGAATGCAGAGTGTGTGTTAGTGTAGTGAATACAGTGTGTGTTAGTGTAGTGGATGCAGTGTGTCAGTGTAATGAATGCAGACTGTGTGTTGGTGTAGTGAATGCAGAGTGTGTGTCGGTCTAGTGAATGCAGAGTGTGTGTCGGTGTAATGAATGCAGAGTGTGTCAGTGTAATAAATGCAGAGTATGTGTGTTAGTGTAGTGAATGCAAAATGTGTGTTACTGTAATGAATGCAGAGTGTGTGTTAGTGTAATGAATGCAGAGTGTGTGTGGCCTGGGGGAAGAAAAAGACACAATGAAAAAGACACAATGGCTGGAGGAGCAAAGAGACACACAAAGGGGTTGGGGAAGGAATAAAGAGGTTAATTAAATACACATGTATGCCGAGTATTTCATGGCGTCTTACATAGGTAAAAGGTGAGCTATATAATGGCCATAAAATATCTAATAATATTTACACTATTCATATCCAAGCGGTGGGAAATAAAACAAAACTGTAACTGGCGTTCTGTCTCATTCATTCAGTATTCTATCAGACTCCCTAACCCTTCCTGCCACAGTGTCTTCAAATGTGAGAAGTGAATGGCTGGAGGAGCAAAGAGACACACAAAGGGGTTGGGGAAGGAATAAAGAGGTTAATTAAATACACATGTATGCCGAGTATTTCATGGCGTCTTACATAGGTAAAAGGTGAGCTATATAATGGCCATAAAATATCTAATAATATTTACACTATTCATATCCAAGCGGTGGGAAATAAAACAAAACTGTAACTGGCGTTCTGTCTCATTCATTCAGTATTCTATCAGACTCCCTAACCCTTCCTGCCACAGTGTCTTCAAATGTGAGAAGTGAGAGATCGTAATCTCTGCCTTTCGTACATAAAAAAAAAACCAAAAACCCTGCATTCCCGACAGAGTTAAAGAAAAATACTTCCTAATGCTCGGGGTGGGACGTCAACCTTTTCGTCACCGTGGAAGGTGTGGCTAGCTGTAGTCATTCATCGCGTTAGAACGTTGAAGCGCGATGTTTGTGGAATATAATGTGCATATTTGGAGGTTAGAGGTCGCCAGAGCGACTGCTACCGGAGCTTCGGAAAACCTGGCGAGAAATAGACTGTGATCGGGTTCACTGAAGGAATGGGAGCAGAGGGACTGGCCTGGTTTGTGTGAGATCATGGTGCCATAGCATGAGTCTAGCTTGCCATATAAACAAAGTGTGTTCTGCCTAAGCAGGAAGCTCTACCTTCATCATTGGTCGAATCCTCCCTGACACAATGTCACTATCTGCACTGTCACTTAGAATTAAACTCTCCTGCTGTACTCAAAGGAGCAGCATATATATTCTATTGAAATGGAAGCATATTGCAGTGCAGTGTCAAAGATGCCCACTCAGACTCTGTAAATTACAAGTCCTGCCAAAAATAGCTATGATTTGTTGGGGGATAAAACATGTGACAACTACAGCCTTATGTGACAAACTAACTCCCACAGAATTAGCAGGTGGAATTGCTGTGAATTATGGAGCAGATTTTGGTAACCGTAATCCCTCTGACAGTATACTGAAAAAAATAAATTTTGTCATTTACTTGGGTATTCGGGCTTGCATTCTCATATTAAAATTTGGGCCACTTGTAGTATTCTATCCATTAACTTTCCTATCTGCCACTCTTTCCTCACTCTGGCTACGAATTTTGCTGAAAGCTACAGAAACTTCCGGTCCAGCATGTATTAAACTTGGCCAGTGGGCTAGCACTCGCCGTGACATTTTTTCTGAAGAGTTTTGTGCACTGTTTTCCAAACTTCATGTCAAAGTGACTCCCCATCCATGGGATTACACAGAGCGTTGCCTGCAGAGAGCATTTGGGAATGACTGGAGGCATCTTCTTAAGTTCCAGAGCACAGATCCTGTTGGTTCAGGGTGTGTTGCCCAAGTCTATAAGGCCTACGCAGACCTGTCCAGATTCCGTAACGTGGACATTGAAACTCCTATTGAGAGTTCAGATCCAAACTCTGCTTTTGAAGCCTGGGAGGTTTCAAGACTGGCTGTTATTTTACAACATTTTTGGAAATGGAAGCATCCTCACAAAGAAGATGAAAAACAGAGAGTCTTTGTGGAAGGGGCTTTTGATATCAACCATGAACTCACTGGTTCACTCAGTGAAGATTCAGAAGAACATAACTTAACACCAGTTGCTATAAAAGTAAGAATCCTGAATCCACTTTAACAATAAGCATACGATAAAGACCAGTGATAATTTAGGTGGGGAGATAACGTTATTATGCATCTTTGATTTAAAAATGTCAACAAAAATCCCTGGATATGACATGAAATGACATGAAATCCCTGGATATGACATGAAATAATTTTCATGACTTATTCACTAAAGGCACTTTAAGGGTACATCTCTGCATTTAAGTGGTAAGGCAGGTTTTTTTTACAGTCACCCACCTCACTTTATCAGTATACTTTTGTTACATATATTTATGATTGTGTCAGATTTTTTATGGGAAGTAGAGGTTAAAATGGGCTTCAGTTCATGATGCTGGATTTGGATATTCTAAGCACCATAAAGGTCTTACAGGAAACGCTGCCAGACCTGGTAGATTTAGAGTTTTTGCCATGGTGTAATTCCACCTCTGGCTCCAGTCAATCGGCCTGTATCAATTGTATCCAGGTATTGCATGCTGCTCACACAACGTGAGCTGAGCTCATCCTACTCCCAGGAAAGAGAAGAGCCGTGGGCCATGCAAGCTTGGACCAGGGCTCTGCCAAGAGCAGGACATATTTAACTAAATAGTAAACTAGTCTATATGTATTCTGATCGCATCCATGGTATGGAACTACTCTTCGGGATAATTTTCTAATCCCATCACCCCCCGCTGTGCAGACATTAATAGGATAATAGTTTTTTCTTGATGTGGGAGTGTTCTGCCTGCATTAAATCAGCACCATCACCTTCTGGGGACTTTGCCGAATTCACAATGATACCACACACAGTGACATAGCCCCCTGTGGATTCAATGGTCGTGGGCTACAGGTAAAGGTGAGATTTACTGACTTAAAGCTGACCCTTGCCAGCGCCGCCATCTTCTTCTCGCAGTTCTTCTTGAAGTGGCAGGAGCCATCGTAACTGCTGAACTCTCGCCCATGCAAAATGTATGCAAAAATAGCCAACCTGTGACTATAGCTGTGTTGGAGATTTTCTTTGTTTCAAATCATATTTTGCAAACATGTTTTTCAATTGTGGTTTAATTTCACAAAAGTTGAATTAGTGATGACTTCCTGGATTTCTAATTTACCTTGTCACCAAACCTAACTTATTTTTATATAGGTCCTGCATCCAGGCCTAAGCCAGCGTGTTAGAATGGATCTTGTTCTCATGAAGAAATTTAGCTATTTACTGGGGTTGATCCCTGGATTTAAGTGGCTAAGTTTGACCGAGATTGTGGAGGAGTTTGAGAAGTTGATGACCCAACAAGTGAGTTATACATTTGCCATGTGTTTGTCCAAATCACTGGTACCATTTTTAACGGTAAAGTAAAGGTCCATGGATTGTATTCTAAAGCTTCCCATATTCTCATATTAAGAAGTTTCTCAAATGAATTTATAGATAATTTACCATATGTAACTGTGGAGAAGAATAGTCCAAAAACAACTGAAGAAAAGACTTTACATCCAGCTATGCAGAAAACTCTATAACTAACTTTAAGCACTAGCGATATTTGTGAACTGTATTTCTCCTGAAGTATGAGATCAGTAGTCCTTTAGAAGACTGTGACATACTTTGCCAATTTTATAGGATCTATCTGTATGTGTCAGTGTTTGTATCTGTGTATCTGCATCAGTTTGTGTATCTGTGCATCTGCATGTGTGTCAGTTTTTGTATCTGTGTGTCTTTGTATCTACATTTATGTCAGTTTGTATCTATCTGCATGTGTGTCGGGGTGTATCTGTGTATCTCCATATGTGTTAGTATTAGTATTTTTGTGTATATCTATATGTGTGTCAGTGTTTGAATCAGTGTGTCTGTGCATCTGCATGTGTGGCAGTTTGTGTGTCCCAGGGGTCTCCTGATGGAAACGGAACTCCAGTCCCTTTGTCTCCTGTTCCCGCCACCCCTCCTCAGGGTCTCCCACCTCCGTTGACCAGGGGGTCTTCATCCCGTGAGCCTCTGTACCTGGGAGCCCCAGCGCAGGAAAACTACTCATCTTCTGGACTCCCAGTTACAGAAAGTCCACCAAACCGCCATTGTCCCCAAAGAGTGTCCCCACCAATCTCAGGGACCCCCCAGAACGGTAACCGCCATGAACAGCCTCCATTCGCGGGGTCCCTGGGTGAAACCAGGCAAGGGAAACGTCTCCTTTCAGGATACGAATGCTCCCCCTGGCCGCCACTCGTCTATACTCCCAGCGGCCACCCAGGGAAGCACTCATTAATTACTTTCCTTGCAGTTTCACACTTATGTTGCGAGTCGTACTTGGGGAGATCCTCATTCGGGAACGAGGTGGGAAGCAATCCACGACTGCTCCCCCTGGATGGCGTTCGTCTAAGGAATGGGCTGCCACCCAGGGTAAGCACACGCCGAGGCTTCCCTTGCGGTTTGTGGTTTTGACACCTCATTACGAGGTGCAAACATTCTAAGACAACATTCTAATTGGGGTTTCGTGATGGTAGAGGGAAATACATGACTAAGATAGGAAAAATACACAAAAGGGATGTTAAGACAGTAACATCAGTAACCTCCTTGGAATCTCCTGTTAGTCATCTCTGTTTTGGCTAAATCAGCAAAATATTCAGGCTTAATACAGAATAATCTCACATTTCTCTCACCTTCTGGTGGGCTGCCTTTATTATTTGAGACAGTTGTTCCTGTCCAATAGGTTTTAAATCTGTTATTGGTTTGTTACAATTAATATTGGGATCTGATCCCTTTTTCTGTCTTCCTTAAACCAGAATAAAATGTGTGAGTAAACACTTTACCTTGTTAAACAGCAGGAATTCCTCTGGTCTCGTCTTATTTTCTTGCTCTTTTAGATGGACCTGCGGTATGAAGCCAGGAATTTGGAGCTTTTCCAGCAAAAGTTTGAGAGAGTGGGTTATATAAAGTTTCCCAGCCCTCTTCGACCGCTCGTTACCAGAAATATCTTGGTCGAAACATATGAGGTAACTGTTTACAGTTAATATAAAATTAAGTGGTAAATTGGATAATGCAGTTTAATTAAAATTATACTGGCAATAAAACCCTATCGTAATTGCATTTGAGAAGTGTGTACACTTTCTTGCTTGACATTTGTTCACTAAACAGTGAATTGTAATAGCCAATATTTTTACAATTTTGCTTTGGCCTGTGTTATTTTTGTATTCCATTTATCTATTGTCCCAGACTAGGCAACACTGGACACTTGTTGACTGCATAATTCTGTAGCACCCGATGTGATACCCTACTTTTAATGGTACAAATCTCTGCTATATACCTTGACAAGATGGCATAATCATTGTGCATGCATCAGCCCATACAGTTGGTCAGAGTTTATATATTACGTTTCTATGTTGTTTTTGGTAACACAGGACCTATCATGAAAAATTATATTTTGAGTATATATACCTTCTCCAGCCTCTCTTGATAACTAAAAATAATTTAGCAGAGCAGGGCACACTGAGCTCCTGCCACTGCCCCAAATAATAAGACAGACAAGCCATTACCCAGGATACACGGCAGCTGAGCCTGGAGTAAAGATTAAAAGGGCACTCCACAGCATGTCTTTGTTAATGCATTGTATAGATAATACATTAAAATGCACACAAATTGGTTATCTAAATAAAAGATTTAAAAAGTTTTTCTATTTAGTGTATGTCCCCTTCTGGGCAGGTATTGACCCACCTGCCTGTTCAGCTTCTCCAGGCAGGTATTGCCCCATATACCTGTCCCTCAGTCTCCCAGGTAGGTATAAGCCTCTCTGGCTGCACTGCCTCCAACTACTACTGTCTTTACAAAGGCACTTGTTGCTCTTACGCCTGGCTCTTTATTTATATGTCCCCAGAACCAGGAACTGGTGCAACCAGAAAGCTGGTCCAAAAACTCTGCTACTGGAATCCCTGAACAAACCAGACAGGACACTCAGTTCCCAATAGAACTAGCACACAATACTTTATTTATACGCAGGACTAGCCCCCATCTGCATTACATAAAAAATATGGCGACACATTAAATCCAATACATAAAACATAATGATATGGAGCATCATAAAGGCACTCGTATAACAAAATACAATATTTATAAAGGTACAGGAAAGACAAACACTGATAAGAAGTATGTCACCTGCCTGTATAAATCCTAATATTCAGTCTACCTGCATATGCAAATTAACAAACCTTGGTATTCAGTTTGTGCTCACAGCTGTGTTATTGGACACTGCAGGTTAGGAGGAAGGTACTGAAAGATAGCTGACCTACTACTTTGCAAATATACAGTAGCATATCAAAAGTTAATCTCAATTTTGATACCTGTAATTATTTGACATTACTGCATAGTGTTATTGGAATAAACTCCATATTGTCTATGGCTCTTTCAACCTACTAACCTCTCTAGCAGCTTTCCATGCTCAGTCAAAATACCTATACTACCTCTGTTAAGGGAAACCTCACCTTACATTTAATTGTATTTAGCTCAGTAATTCGGCATTTCTACAGAGAGAGGATGTATGCACTGTTAAAAGAACACTCCAAGCACCAAAAACAGTAAAACTCACCTCATACTACTATCTCTTCAGAGCCTGCGTTATAGGTTCATTGAGCAAACCAACTAACACAATAAGCCAAGTCCTGCATTGCCGTATAGCTAATGGATGTTTTAGCTGAGCTCCCTGGAGATGGTAGTGATAGCAGGGAGCAGCGGCTGGTGGACCCAGGTAAGAAACCAAACTGTTCAAAAAATGGTCTGATTCTTTACACTGGGCTCCAGGACACTTTTGGAACCATCACCACTACAGCAGGTTGTAGTGGTTATGGTGCTTGGAGTTTTACTTTTTAAGTTACTATAATTCATAATATTGACAAATGAACCTGCACCATGACTGCTAGCAGTTGATGACCCGATGACGTGTTGACACTGTTCTTCTTCCTTTCCAAGTTTCTTTCTTTTTATTACATTATAATTTAGCAGTTTTATGTTTCACCTTTTAAAGGAAGGAGAATCTCTGTCTGTCTACCTGCAAGATGGTGAGCCGTCTCTGCTCAAAAAGAGGATTGCTGAAATGGGGGTGGATATGCTTCTAAAAATGGTAAATGAGATTTCATGAAAGCGAACATTCACCTGATGTATATTCATTAAAACTCCAGAAGTTCTGTACAATTGGCAAGAGAACGGGAAATTGCCCTGCTGTTTTGCAGTTTGTTTAAATAAAAATAAAACCTCCATTCTAGACTTAACACATTAACGCCATTAGGGCGTACAATGCCATCCTGAAAAAAGTGGGCTTTAACCCCTTATGGATGCATAACAGACCCAGTCCGTCATGCTGGGGAAGCCTTTAAGGACTAAAATTAACCCCAAGTTGCCGCGATTGTGGGGTTAACGCTCCTCCGGTCTGCCACTGTATTTGAGGGGTGGGTGGAAGTTAGTGGGGAATTTTGGAATTTGGTGTTAGGCTAGCTAGGGGTTAACGTTAAAAAACTTTAAAAAAAAGCTTTAGAAAGTTTAAAAAAGTTTAAAAAAATTAAGATAACGTTAACAAAATCCCACCCCCCCCTTTACCCAGTCCTAATAAAAATTAACCCCTTCCATGCCAGTTGAGCACTGCCTACCGTGATCAAAATACAGCTCATAGTATTATTCTGTGATCTGATTTTTTTAAACCCCTGAGGGTTAACTTTTTAAAAAAAATGTTTTTAACCCTCAGGGGTTCAATTATTTCATTAATTAATTTAAATATTTTAAAATTATATATAGGAGAATTTACTATTAGTCCTACTTACTGCTAGTTAGGGGTTAACGGTAAAAAAAAGTTATACAAATTGTAAGTGTCAAAAATTTTTAAGAAAGTTTAAAAAAGTAAAACAAAAATTTAATTAGTAAATGAAAAAGTTAAAAAAAAGTTTTATAAAGTAAATAAAGTTTAAAAAAGTAACAAAATACATTAAATGCTCATTACCACTACACCTGGAACAAACTAGCGAAAAAATTATCCCACACTAAGGTTCAAAATATGCCTTTTGAAATACCCTGGGGTGTATTCTTTAATAAATAGTATGTGTTTGTGGTAAAGTTTGAATAACCAACCAGCCAAAATACTCCAAAATGAAACATGGACACAGTGTAAAACTTCAAAGTTAGTTGGAATATATAGCCTGCTAAAATACTCCAAACTGGGAACTGTACACAGCGTAAAAATTCAAAGTTTAAAAAAAAAACTGGAATGGCTGTGTCACAAATGTGCCCCTTCAATATCCACATGTACCTGGCAGGTACATAGGTACATACGAGGGTAAAGCTACATACGGGGGTATTGCGGTACTCAGACAACATAGCTAAGCAACATATGAAGTATTATACAGTCGTAGCACACATAAGGTTTGCAAACTATACTGTGCATACTCACTTTGTGTGTCAAAAAGGCAGAAAAAATGCTTATTACCACTACACTTGGTAGTGTTTATTTATTAGATTGTTCCTTTTAAAGAAGTTGGGGCAAAGGCGATACTATGATAATATTAGAAATGACTGCCTTGCACATTTAATTATTTTCTGTACAGTGCTCTCATTTGAAGCACCGATAAGCAGATTCGGGATTTTACAATTGCTGATAGACAATTTTGCTTCACAATCTCATTCTCAAAATATCATAAGAAATGACTAAGTATCATGAAATCTCATATTTTAATGCATTGTAGAGATAATTAACTATTATGCAAAGAAATAAAAAAAGATATACTCGCCTTCGATATCTGTAGCTGCACCCTCACCATGAAGGTGCTTCATCGATCAAAAGCCTTTCATTCTTGCTTATGAGTTCTGATCCTATTCTATAAACTCCTGTATGGTGGCAGAATTTTATGTGGTAAGTAGTAAGTAGTTTATCCCACAAGGTAAGTAGTTTATCCCACATATAGGAACTGCTCAATAAACCAATAGCAGTCATCCCACAGTTACAGCTCATACACAACCTGGTGAACAGTTTAGTAAGCCGTGTGCAGTGCCACCTACTACATTTAGTTTAGGGTTGAAATAATTTTGTTTCTGCAGCCCTAACCATACCAACCCTGCATGTGACTTACACAGGTTGCATGAAATAATGGTTTTATTTTCAAAAAAATCTTATAGCACAGTTTGTTTACTTTAGAAGTTCTTAACTGTTCTTAAATGTTAAGTGAATTATAATCCCATGTGGAAGACTGCTGCAAGCAAGTAATAGATTGAAATATAAAAACATCCCAACTAAACACCCTGTGCATAAATAAAGTGATTTAACTCTTAAATGGGAGATAATTTAGCAGTGGGGTTGCATGATCTATACACCAAAACCACTTAATTATGCTAAAATGGTATTTCTGCTTAGAATGTCCCCTAAGAATTGCTACAGTTACTCAACCGGGAGAGCAGTTGTTCCTTTGCAGAGTGTTTCATTTCCATGGAAATGAAATATTAAATGTAGGGTTCTCTGAATAGAACTTAACCTCACAATGCATGTGATTTTTTTTTTAGGTATTTCTGGATAATTTTGTCCATGCTGACCTGCACCCTGGTAACATTTTAGTGCAAGGAGCAGAACAATTCAATATGAGCCACATGGACCAAACCACATTAGTAGACATGTGTGACACGCTGGTTGTTGATGTTCGTCCCAGCCGCTGCCCTCTCCGTCTTGTATTGTTGGACACTGGGATTGTGGCTAAGCTGACAGAAAATGATCTTCAGAATTTCCATGCTGTTTTCACTGCTGTGGTACTGGGACAGGTTCGTCTGATTATGGCATTTTACTTTTATAAAAAATAAAATGTAGATCAATAACAATACAACAAACTTTTATGACTAGATCCGTGTGTCTGAAAAGTTTTTTCTGCTTATAATGTTGATAGGGCCATATAAATATATACTTATGTCTAGTGATCTATGCCAGTCTATGATACAATTCCTATGGCAGTATCTACACAAACTATGGACATTCATGGACATTTATAATGTCTTCCGCAGTATATCCTTGTGTCTGTCAAGTGTTGGGGCAAAATTTTGGTAGCACTACGTGATACTTTTTGAGTCCCACTGCTTCAAGTTTTGAGTTCCACTGCTTCACAGTTGCTAATCTGTAGCACTGTTTCAATTTTGCCTATGTTGGCGGGCTTTGCTGGGAACAGTTTTATACCCCCATGTATTTATTCATTTTTTTGTCAGAGCCAAAAGCAGACACTTCAGTGCCTTGCCTACTCCTACCAGATCCTCTCACCCCCTATGTAAGTAACAAGACTCTCATCACTAACCTCATGTTGAAACAATTTTATAATCTGAGTCTATGTGGTGCAGCCACATGCCTGTTCTCTACAGACATCTGCTGCAGTGCTACCTGTGAGACGTTATATAACTGGGTAGCTAGTGTTTATTTTACTGTAAGGCAGCTTGTATTATTAAAATATATTTTAACCACTGTAGTAGTTATGGTGCTAGGAATGACCCAGAGCCATTCCAGAGTAATTTGCCAAATAGTTTGACAAATTGCCTGGATTCACCTAGGTGCCTGGAGTGTTTCTTTAAACCACAGACTAGTTTTGTTCTCCTATGATACAGCTCATTACTCTGTTGTAGCTGTTGCTAATTAGTACTTAGCACTGTCTAGTATCAATTTATTAATATCTGTTATAAAAACATAGAGACATAGAATGTGACGGCAGATAAGAACCATTCGGCCCATCTAGTCTGCCAAATTTTCTAAAAACTTTCATTAGTCCCTAGCCTTATCTTATAGTTAGGATAGCCTTATGCCTATCCCATGCATGCTTAAACTCCTTTACTGTGTTAACCTCTACCACTTCAGCTTGAAGGCTATTCCATGCATCCACTACCCTCTCAGTAAAGTAATACTTCCTGATATTATTTTTAAACCTTTGTCCCTCTAATTTAAGACTATGTCCTCTTGTTGTGGTAGTTTTTCTTCTTTTAAATATAGTCTCCTCCTTTACTGTGTTGATTCCCTTTATATATTTAAATGTTTCTATCATATCCCCCCTGTCTCGTCTTTCCTCCAAGCTATACATGTTAAGATCCTTTAACCTTTCCTGGTAAGTTTTATCCTGCAATCCATGAACCAGTTTAGTAGCCCTTCTCTGAACCCTCTCTAAGGTATCAATATCCTTCTGAAGATACGGTCTCCAGTACTGTGTACAATACTCCAAGTGAGGTCTCACCAGTGTTCTGTACAATGGCATGAGCACTTCCCTCTTTCTACTGCTAATGCCTCTCCCTATACAACCAAGCATTCTGCTAGCATTTCCTGCTGCTCTATTACATTGTCTGCCTACCTTTAAGTCATCAGAAATAATCACTACCTGAATTTGCAACATAACCCACATGAAAAAGAGAGGTTAGTGATTAACCAGTGCAAGAAGCTGAACGGGAGCTTTAGAGGGATACGTAGAGCCTTATAACGATGCATGCAACCAATGCAATAGCCTACATATATAGTGACCCGAAGGGTTCCCGGCATCCTCCTCATGGTCTCAAATGTGGAAGCACTATTTATTAATAAATTGAGGGTTTTGTGGTATGAAGGCACCACTTTGTGGTATGAAGTGAGTTTTAAAAAAAAAGTGCTCTACCTATTTTTTTTTTTTTCAAATTGACAATTTTTATTTTTCAGAGATCAAGTGGGGTACAGAAAGGAAAAGGGGTTGGGGGGATCACCTTTTCACATAACATGTAATTTTGTTTCAGTAATTAGTAGGTTCTGTCTCTTGCGGTTTTATTTCAGTGTCTGAACGGTAGGGACCATGAGGAGGATGCCGGGAACCCTTCGGGTCGCTATATATGTAGGCTATTGCATTGGTTGCATGCATCGTTATAAGGCTCTACGTATCCCTCTAAAGCTCCCGTTCAGCTTCTTGCACTGGTTAATCACTAACCTCTCTTTTTCATGTGGGTTATGTTGCAAATTCAGGTAGTGAGATCCTCCAACTGGGAGATAACAAGGGAAAAGGTGTAGGGAAAAAAGGGGGGGGGGAGAAGTGTGTATCTTCGTGTGATGTAGCGCTTGGCTTCATGTTGTAATGGTGAGTGGTGATAGTTGTGCATTGGCGGTATGGCTTTCCGGGGTCTATGCCTTTGCCGTGTTTGTATTTGCCTCGGAGTCTCATTGGTCCATTGTGGAGTCAGTGCGGGGGTGCGGTTTCTAAAGCTCGTCGTGTGTGTCGGAAGAGTTCAGTCTGTGTGAGGTGTTGTGAGTGGCCTTTCCTTGAATAGCGTGGGGTGGGGTATCTGTTCCAGAAACTATTCCGTCTCTTAGGTTCACCCAGGGTGCCCAATCGGTTTGGAAGTTTTCCCTTTGAGCGACAGTTTTGGTAGACAAGCTTTCATATGTGTAGTATTGGTGGATTTTGTCTAGCAGTTGGGTTCGGGAGGGACAGTGGGGTTGTTTCCACTGAGTTGCTATCAGATTTCTCGCTGCCAGGATTACAATGGCCATTATGTTTCGTACATATTTTGGGGTGGGGTGTGGGTATGAGAGGAATATCCCCGTGTGTATGTCGATTAGCGGTAATGTAATACCCATAGATAGCAAAACAGTTTGTGCCTCCCTCCATAGAGGTCTTATACGTTGACACGTCCACCATATGTGGAGCATTGTGCCCTTAGCAGCCACGCATCTCCAGCAGTGTGGGGATACATTGTTGTACATCGAGTGGAGTCGCTGGGGTGTTAGGTACCATCTATATATCAGCTTTTTATGGGCCTCTATGTGAGAGTAGCACTGCGTGAGGCCTGAAAGGGCTCGGGGGGATGCCAAAACTTCAGTGTCAGATATCGAGCCTGCGCCCTCAACGAGCCATTGGGTTACAAAGTTAGGGATAACCATGGGTGTAGCCCTGAGGATTAGCTGATAGCAAAGGGAAAGTGACTTAGGTTTGGTAGGAGTTTTCCAGCACCTGTCGTATAGTGATGCTATGTCTTTGAAGTCTGGGTCATTAAGCAGTGGATTCTGTGTAACGTGTGTGGGGAGTACACTTTTAAGTTGCAGGTATGGAAACACTGAGGAATTAGTAAGTTTGAATTCCTCCTGCAGGTCTGGGAAGGGTTTAATGAGGCCTTCGTGCAGGACTTGTTCTATGTGGGTAATTCCCAGTTTGACCCATGAGTGTAGGGAGAGCCAAGGTGATATTGCTTTTAGTGCTGTTAATGGCGTGCGGGGGTGAAATTTGTGAGTGTCGTGATGGTTTTGACGTAGCTTGTCCCAGTGAAATATGGTTAGTTTAGTGGTCGGTAAAAGGGATTTGTCTTTGGGCCGATATGTCGCGGGGGTCCACAAGAGATCGACCAAGGACGTCTTGCCCGCGTGGGCGACTTCCATGTTCACCCACTGGTACACTCCTTTATGGGTGTGCAGTTTCACTGCTGCCTCTATGATAGCTGCTTTATAGTAGGCGTGTATATCTGGCAAACCCACTCCCCCTTTTGCTGTGCTTTGTTGTAGGGTTCGGTGTGACAGTCTGGGTCTGCGAGAGTCCCACACGTATTGGGATAGTGTCTGTTGGAGTGTTTTAAAAAAGGAGGGTGGGACTTGTATGTGAAGTAGGCGGAATATGTACAGTATCTTCGGGATTAGGACCATTTTGATGGTGTTGATTCTGCCGAACCAGGATAGTTTCACCGGTTTCCATCTATTACATTCCGATTTGCACATCGTGAGTAGTGGTCTATAATTATAATGAAATATGTGTTCCACAGTGGGCGCTATTTTAACCCCCAAGTATGTGATGTAATCCGTCCTCCAGTCAAACTTATATGTCCTAAAAAGCTCTGTGGTCGTGGCCCGCGGTAGGCCTACCGGTAGGGCTTGGGTTTTGGCTTGATTTAATTTATAGTACGATAATGTACCATATGTTTCTAACAGCTGTAATAGGGTGGGTAGAGATGTTGGTATGTCGCGCAGCGTCAGTAAGATGTCGTCTGCGAACATAGATAATTTGTATTCACAAGGACCTATAGACATACCTTTGATATTAGGGTGGTGTCTAATGATGTATGCCAGCGGTTCTAAGCAGAGGACAAACAGTAGTGGTGAGAGGGGGCAGCCCTGCCTGGTGCCGTTGGAAATTGTAAATGGGGTGGATAGGAAGCCCGCATTACTCACTTGTGCTGAGGGGGCGTTATATAAGGCCATGATTCCGGAGAGGATTTGTGGGGTAAAGCCGAATGTTTGTAGGACTTTTCGCATATAGTCCCAATTTAGTCTGTCGAAGGCCTTCTCCGCGTCTAGCGCTAGGAGGAGGCCTTCGCCTTGGTTGGCTTGAGCGTGTGCTAAAATATTAAGGATTTTCCTGGTATTATCTGAGCCTTGTCTCGTTTTCACAAAGCCAGATTGGTCATTGTGTGTGAGTTTTGGGAGAATGTTGGATAAGCGATTCGCTAGTAGTTTAGCGTAAAGTTTAACGTCTCCGTTTAGCAAGGAGATGGGCCTGAAATTGGGACATTGCGTAGGTGATTTCCCTGGCTTCGGGAGGGTGGAGATGTGAGCTCTCAGCATCTCAGGGGGTAATGAGCCTCTTTCAAAGCAGTGGTTAAATAGTTTAAGTATGTGAGGCGATAGAGTGGGTGCAAATGTTTGATAGTAGAGATTGGTGTAACCGTCTGGGACGGGTGATTTGTGTTTAGGCAGTTGTGCTATCGTTTTCGTTATTTCTTCTATCGTGAATGGTGCGGATAGGGAAGCTATATCATCTGGTGTCAGTTTGGGGAGGTTCGCCTCGGCCAAGAAATCAGTGACAGTTGATGCGTGAGGTGGTGTAGTGTCTGGGTCGTCTTTAAGGTTATAGAGCGCACTATAGTAGGAAGCGAACGCATCCACTATATCCTGCAGGTTTGTGAGTTTCTTTTTCGATTTGTCGATTATGTAGGCTATTCTAGAGTTGGCGGTGCGCGCTTTGAGTCGCGTTGCCAGTAGTGCCCCTGCTTTGTTACCTTGTTGAAAGAAGTTGTATTTGAACCGTTTGAGCATATGGGTCGTTTTCTTTAGTTCCATTTCCCTGAGTTTCGACTGTAACGTTAAGAGCCGGTGTTGTGTAGTTTGCGTGGGCGTTGTCTTGTTGTTGTGTGTAAGGTTTGCTATCTCGGAGATTAATGCATTGTATTGTTTAAGTCGTTGTTTTTTGGCATAGCTGCCCGCCCTAATTAAGTGCCCACGTATGACGGCTTTGTGTGCTTGCCATAAGGTGGTTATGTCTATGTCTGGGGTAGAATTTGTGTGGAAGTATGAGATGAGATCTGCTCTCAGTTGTTCTGTGAGTGTCGGGTCTAGGAGTAGGGAGTCGTTAAGCCTCCAGGATCCTTTGCCTGAGGTAGGGAACTGTTCTGCGATGGTTAGCGTTATAGGGGCATGGTCTGACCATGTGATCAAGCCTATGTGGGCCGTTACAATTTTATGGATTGTTGTGGAGGGTATAAGGAACCTATCTATCCTCGTATAGGTGTTGTGTGCCGATGAGTGGAATGTGTAGTCCCGTTCCAGAGGGTGGAGGATTCTCCACGGGTCGAGGAAGTTATTATTTAGGATTTGACGGCAATGTGAGGAGGTGGACCTGTTAAGTTTGCGTGTGGATGTTGCAGAAAGTTTATGTGTTGAAGTGGTGTCTAGTGTGCTGTCTAGGATAAAGTTCGTGTCTCCACCGATAATGAGTTCCCCATATCGATACAGGTTTGCTAGGGCGAACACAGTGTCCAGGAATTCTGTCTGGTTCGTGTGCGGGCCGTATATGTTGAGAAACGTGTAAGGCTCATTGTTAACGAGACACTGGAGCAGGAGATATCGTCCCTGTTTGTCCCCTATTTTTTTGATTAAGAGAATGCCACCGATTTCCCTATTAGTATGGACACTCCTCTCTTTTTTGTCTTAAAGCACGAGTGGTAGTCGTGGGGGAATAGTTTGGAACTGAGTTTGGGGCGATGGCCCCATTTGAAATGTGTCTCCTGGAAGAACACTACGTGTGCGTTGTGTTTTTTTGCCTCTTCCAGCGCTAGTCGTCGTTTGTGCGGCGAATTGAAACCTTTGACATTTAATGACAATATGTTGAGCGTCATTTGTGCACATAGTAGTGGGCAGCTGTGTGTAATTCTATACGGAACGCTTGCCCTTCGCATTGTGTGGGGGCATCGGTGGCATTGTGGTTGTGTTCTGGTCCCTGTTGCGTGGGTATCATTGATTCCGCATTGTTTGGGGTACAAAGATAGTACAGTGGGGTGGTGAGCCTCCTTGTTGTCAAGGAAATATCGGGTGTTTGGTTGATGTAGTTCGTATAATGGGACCTATAAGGGTTAGTGGCATACCCCAACTGGTTGGGTGGTCTAAGATGTGGTGCGCAGCTTGTCATGTATTTAAGTGGATACTCTAGAGGGGTAAGGGACTGGGGAAGTAGGGGCGGGTACCAGGAATGAGTCTCGTGGTAGGATAACAGGGTAACGAGAACTATATACAAGAAACCGTCATAGTGAAAGCCATGTGGCTGGGACGGTGGGAACATGGCTCCATTGAGCCTAAGGGGGGGGAAGTTGTGGCAAACCACTGTGGTCGACCCTCGGGGTTGTTAGGGATCTGCGTCTGTCGTTGGGCCTCGTTTACCTCGGCTCTGGTCTTCGAGCAAGTGACCTGGTGTAGTGTCAATGTCTAGCTGTGGGGGAAGCTAGGTATCGCGGCATTGTTGTCAAATCAGTTGTTCCATGTACCTCCTAGTGCGGGGGGGGTGAGTGGGCCGTCCGGGAGCGCGTGGTGTAGCTCATGTCCCCCCTGTTGGCATCGCCGCAGCGGGGGGGGCCCAATACCTAGGGCTCCGCCATCGCCACGAGGCCAAAGAAGCAAGTTTTACCCCCCCCAGCCCTCCCCTCGATCTCCCATGACCCCCCACCGCCTAAAGAGGGACCGCATACCTAAAAAAGGGTAGAAGACTTGTACGATAAACATTCGGCGGCCCTCAGGTGCGGCAGAGATGCCGGGTATAATAAAAAATTTTGATTAAAGACTGAAAGTCAAGGGCTGGGAGAAAGGACATGTTGGAATTCTATCTGAGGGAGCGAGCAAAGTGGCATGGATAGAGTCCGCGCACGGGGACAATGGTGGGCCGGTGCGTCTTTAGTGTTAAGGGAACGTGCAGCCTCGCGGCAGTGGGGGAAGTTAGGAGACCCATCACCGCTGCCCTGTCAGTTATTCGACAGTCCTCTCGGTGCAGGGAAGCGTATAGGGCCGCCTGTGGGTGCACTTTGTGTGCCGCTCCTCTTTCCCCTTGCATCGCGGCGATGAGGGGGCCCAATGCCCGGGGCCCCGTCACCGCCACGAGGTCCATCAAGCAAGCCCGTCTACCATCAGTTGCACCCCCATCCTCCCATCTAAAGAATACCTAGTATGGTAAACGTTTGGCGGCCCCTGAGTGTAGTAAGAAAATAGAGAAGAATATAGTTCAAAGTCTGAGACTGCAAAAAAAGGCATAAGAGAGCAACATAACGGCAAACAATTAGAAGTATACGGATAAAGTCTTCACATGGGGAAAGTTTCGGGCTAACGTGCCCTAGTGTTAAGGGGACAGGCCGCATGTACGGCTGTGGGAAAGTCACTTAGCTGAGGCTGCTGAGTTCCATTCGGTCGGCACTTTCCATGGAGGTCGCCGGCGTTCGAGTGGGGCCCCTCGGTCAGGTTGTGGGGGTATGGGAATGTTCCACTCTGCAAGGAGTTTCTTCCCCTCCTCCACATTGGTGATATGGCGATTCACTCCATTGCGCCGGATAATTAAACGGGCCGGGAATCCCCACCGGTATAAGACGTTCGCATCCCGCAGAGTCCTGGTGATGGCGGCAAGGTCTCTCCTCTTTGACAATGTGGATGCGGAGAGGTCTGTGAAGAGCTGGACCTTTGCAAATTTCACCGGTAAGTCTTGGGTGTGCCTAGAGGCTTTCATTATGCAGTCTTTCGTAGTGAAGTAGTGGAGTTTAGCAATCGTGTCTCTCGGGATTGACGCGGGTAGAGATTTCGGTTTTGGCAGCCTATGGATGCGGTCAATGAGGAAGTCTTGTGGGGTGAGGTCCGGAACCAAGTGTTGGAATAGACTCCTGGCATAGGCCTGGAGGTCCTGGGGCAGAACTTCCTCTGGTATGCCGCGGAGGCGTATATTGCTGCGCCTATCTCGGTCTTCGTGGTCCGCTACTTTCGCTGTCAGGCGGTCTAGTTGCTCTTTCATTTCAGTGTAGGCATCTGCCAGAGTATTGTGTGCCGAGATTATTTCATCAGATTTATCTTCCAGGCGGGAAGTCCTGTCTCCCAATGCCTGGATGTCTGCTCTGATTTCCCTCGCCATTTTGGACATATCTGCCTGTAGTGAGGCTTGCATAGTTTGAAGCATCTTGTGTATTGACAGATCTGTGGCTGGTGCTGCAGCCGGTTCTGAGATTGAGGTCAGGTCGCTGTTGTCAGAGTATGCCGCCGGAGATCTCGGCGGCTCGGCGCCATCTTGGTTTTGCAAGTGTGGTGAGGAAAGCCCCTGGATCTGCAGCAAGGTTTGTTTGGGCTTGGGTTTTCTGGCAGATTTCGATGCCATGGCTATATGGTTGTTTGTGCAGGTTCCTGCGTGGGTTAAGAGGCATACAATGCTAGTATAATCGCTGTGGAGGGTCGGATCCCGGAGGAGCTAACAGCTCATGCGACCGTTCAGTTGAGCCGTCAGGCCACGCCCTACCTAGTTTTTTTTATTGGTTTTGGTCATAAGTATTGTAATTGAAAGGAAAGCATATTTAGGTGTACTGGTTGACCTGTTCATTAATGAAAGGTTTTATTATATTATATAAATGATTTTATTTACTTTCTATTCATGAGTCTAGCACTATCGACTGATTACTGTAATGATGTATTACAATCTAAAGGGATTGTTAAAGGAACACTCCAAGTACCATACTCACTATAGCTCCCTGAAGTGCTCACAACGCCAGGAGTGTCTTGGTACCCCTATTGTCCCAACATTTTACAAATGCCTTGACTTCTTCCAATGAGTTTGACTGGGTGACACTCTCCCTCCACTACCATTGTCAGAGAGCCACATGTATCTAAGCAGGAACTGAATGCATCAGGCAACAGTGATTCTTTACAATGACAAATCTCATTCTATATAAAAGTCTCACAGGTATATTATTTTATCTCAGTGTTCCCGTTTCTGTTCTACACCTTCTGTTTCTGTTATTCTTTACCAAGCTAGAGCCCCTTTCAAGCACACACATACTGTTAGGTTTTGGCACATCACTAGAGACATGCACTTTCCTTTATATTCAATATATTGGTTCAATATGCATTATTCACTACATGCTTTCTCATGCAGTGTTTTTAGTGAATAATGAGATAAAAAATATGTGCATATCTCCCAAGTAGCCTGGATCACTATCATCTTCCTGGATTTTCCTCTGGTGTTCCACTTTTCAGGGACAACAGGGAAAATCCTCAAAACACTCACTGAACTAGACATTGATTGTACTTTTTATCAGGCAATAACACCTCTAGCATTTGCAAGAGCTTCTGCAGTGCTCTGTGCTTATGAGAGTGACTGTTTGGATATCTAGCATCCAGTGTGTCACATGCAAGTAGTGCCCTTGCATGTGACATCACTGGCAACCCCAAGTGCAGTCTCTCTCCATTTTGATTTCATAGAGTGAAAAGTTTGTATACACGAGGTAAAAACCTTGAGGTAATACCTTAATGTTTTGGCAAAATGTTGTTTTTTTTTTGTTGCTCATTTAACCCCTTAAGGACCAAACTTCTGGAATAAAAAGGAATCATGACATGTCACACGTCATGTGTCCTTAAGGATTTAAAGGATATTAGCTATCCGTCCAGTAAAAAAATAATAAAGCAAAAGAAAAAAATTAATTTCAAAGCTCAGGAAGAGAAAGTCAAAACAAACAAAATTAGGTTTATTGCATATTGTTTGTTATTGCTAGATTTGTTGCATGTAATATTTACTTGAATATTGAAGATTGAAATTGACTAAAATTTTAAATAATTTTTGACCCTTTAAATGAGTAAATAAGTGCATCATGTGTCAAAAGTTGCTGTCAGTAAATTACAACAATACAGTTTATGTTGCCCTAATTAAAAGATATTTATTAATGCAGGGTGATAAAGTTGGCGAGTTGATCCTACATCATGCAAGAGCCAATCAATGCAGCGATGAGGAAGGGTTCAAGTTGCAGATGGCTGAATTGGTGAATGATGCCAGGAACAATACAATCACTCTGGGAAAAGTAAGTTTAGGATTGCATCTTTGAATTATAATATTCTTTATAAATGGATAATAATATGGAGACCTACAGCCCCTTCAAGTCAAATTAAGTGATGGATTGAATTGTTTTAGTATTTTACTACAAAAAATGTGAAGGGAAAAAATAATTTTGTGTTCACTTGTTAAAAACATATATGCTTTTTTGCCTTCTCAAAAATATTTTGCATATCTCTGTTTGTTTTTTCTCTCTGTGTCATACCATATCTATATTTATTAAAGTCAAATGATTGTTTTGTGTGTCTTCTTAGCTTCAAGTTGCAGTTTTGCTTTCTCACGTTTTCCGACTTCTGATGACACACAAGGTAATAGAATTTCACTTATTCAACAACTATGTCCTTTAATTATGCAATGAATACAGAGTTACATGTTCACTTCACATTTCTGAGAAGCTGGTAAAATATATTCAGCAGTGTAACAAAATGTATGTCTGTTTATTTGCAGGTAAAGCTGGAAAGCAACTTTGCATCTATCGTGTTTGCCATTTTGGTTTTAGAAGGGCTTGGACGGTCTTTAAATCCAGAAATTGATATTTTGGAAGCAGCAAGACCGTTGCTAATTAAAAAGGCAACTTCTCTTATTTAGAAATTTAGTTTTCTTGTGTGAATTGTAACCAGGAGAGAAAATGTGAATTTACTTTTAACAGGAATGGAAGCTTTCATATGGGCATTTGAACATTTTTAATACATGTATTTGTGAGAAACTCTCGTGAATGATGTTAGTCTGGTGCTACTTGACCAAGCATTTGTTGTGCTGTTTTATGTTCTTCCCTGGGACATCTGCATTACCAGTTGCAGAGTCCCATTAACCCTTTGTGGTCCTATGTTGGAATATTTCCGACAAAATTGTTTACCTCTTGCGGTCCAATGGTGGATTTTCCCTGGAGAGTACCGCTCATGGGCTACCTAGCTAAGAGCTTCAATTGCTAGATCTAAGCTTACAGGCAGGGCCAGCTCTACCTTTTGTATTTGTCTTTGTATATTGTATGATCTTGTAAAGCTGCGGAATTTGTTGTCGCTTTATAAATACCAGTAATAAATAAATAATACTCCGTCCCGGGTGTATTGCATGTGCGCGATGCTCACAGGCTGGGAAGGCCTGGCACTGAGGATTGGCGGGACTCTTCAGGGGAAATCCAAAATTGGACCGCAAGAGGTAAAATATTTTGTTGAATATATACAGTGCTGACCTGCATTGTAACTACTGCTCGCACGATATGTGTGATAACATGATTATTCACCTCATTGCTTTGTTGCCTTTGGTGACAACTTATTGGTTTTGAAAGGCGTGAAAGGAATGATGCAACTTTTACTCCAAAAACCAAATAATAAAATAGACACTAATTGTTAAATGAAATATATATAAATTAATTACATTAACTGAAAAATAAAAAAGACAACTTACTATACTTTGATAAATACATCTAGTGATGGTTAAGCTATGTAGGTAACCGGTTGATTTTAATTACTGTTGAAGAACATCAAGAAAGGGAATTAGTGCTCTATATTTATTCTTTTCCAGTCCTGAAGGCATGCAAGGATGATTTTGTTTTTATGTTTTAAAGCTATTTTATGCTAGATGATTTTAGAAATCGCGTTTGCCTTTAATTGTACATTTTTGTTGTTTCCCTATGAAATGAATTGTGTTTAAAATTTTGCATTAAAAAAGGGAAAAAAATTGTGATTTGTGCAAAACAAAACAAAAAATGTGTATAAAGGAAAGCGTTTCATGATTTGTAATGTGTGAATATTAAATCCATTCGCTCCGGTCTACTCCTATTCTGCTTTTATAAAACGCATCTGTTTAAATTTACAATATATTTAAGACTTAATTGGTATTGTGTATATCAGCTATAATATGCAAATCATGTGATCACTCAGTGTATTGAATGGAAGCTATATATAGATATCTCTTACTAAATGAAGATAAGGTGAGAGATATCATCTAAATATCAGTTCTACTATGTTAACCATTAGAGTCAACTCTCTCCAACTTCGATGAGAGTTCATTAAAACCTGCCGGGTTTAACTTAGTGGCTCCTGGTCTTTACATCTCATTGTAATGCCTCTTGTTTTTCTTATGGGGAGGTGCAGCTTCTAAGTAAGTCCCAACACAGAGCTAATCTTCTGCTTTTCTGGTTGACTGTACTCTCTTGGGGTTAGATAGGCCTTCAGGTGCCCATGTAACTCCAATCATGTGTCATTTCCAAAAGGATCAGTTTTCAAAAACGAATGATGCTGGTACTATTAACCAGGAAGTCGAAACAGAGATCAATCCCTGTTTGAAAATGGCCATCTCTGAGCTGTGTGGATGCACATTTAAGGAAAAAACAGAAAACACAAATCTATTCAAGGAATCATTAGTGTAGATTTAAATGCTTCATTGAATAGAACTGTAGGTCCTCTACATTTCACTGATTAAAATTTCAAACTAAACCTTTTTGCAAGTGCCTCACTGTTTAACCTGGTTTCCCCTATATACATACTTGAGAAAATTGGAGGGTAATATGAAACCTTACCCATTCGTTCTCCTCTTGAAGTTTACATCCTCACAAGGGAAGGAGAAAGTGCAAAACGAATAATTGGTGGATGCAATTTGAATGAAGTGTGGGTGGGACCAATAAGGAGAATCATGGGTTAACACCATGCTAATTCTGCCATCACCCATGTTTACTTGATCATACTGTGCTTTATTGATGTGTGTGTATTACACAGAACTGGTTTCCATGCATCTTTTAAAGTGAACCTGTCATATAAAATACACACACATTAGTCACTCCATTCCTATACTCCCTAGCCTATGCTAGCAGCGTTGGCTGGGGATCTTCCATAGCAATCGCACTGATTTTGCTATGTTTGAGGGAGCAGAAGGACTGCCTGTGGTGGGAGGTCTTTTCTGTGCTCTTGTCAGTCAGACTGTCAGCATAGAGTCTATGCTGAAGATTTGACAGAGAAGTGTGAGAAAGTCCTACTTTTAAATACATCACACACACACACATACATACATATACACACACTATTGTTTTTATATGATTATTATGAAGTTCAGTCGCTCTTCTATGAGTCAAACTATTCAGTAGCTAGCCAAGTGTGATTGTTGATTAATACTTTTACAATGGCTGTTTTAAAGTCACTGCTCTGCTTATTAACCAACAACTCTCCAGTGTCTACACAAAAGTTTCCCTTAACAGTTAATATGAGCTGTATGTAAATCACTAATATATATGACAGGATTTCTATAGGGCCTTTGCTGATCGGAGAGTTTGTAGGTTGCGTTCCTTCAGGTAGTGCTGCAGCTCCTTGTCCTTTTGGGACTCCTGTTCCACCTCACGGTAAAATTGCTCCAGCTGTTTTGAAACTCTGCGCCGTGCACTCTCCTTCAGCTGCTGATTTTGGTGTTGCTGTTGAATATCTGAATCCTTTTTTCTTGCTTGATTGATCATTCTGTCCTGTAGCAGCTCCTATAAACACAATATTATGTTATTCTACATGCATTTGTTTCTTAAAATACAAAAGCTAATGGAGATGTTCCTCCCAATGGAAATGCCAAGAAATGAAGCTTCAGTGTTTATGCTTAAAACATGTGTTCCTGGATAACCATGTAGGCCACTGTGCAGAATTTACCAGAAAGCACCTCAGCAGTGTTTACATTAAAATACCTGCAGGGACAGGCTTTAGACACCAGAAAAATTAAAGCACCACTATAGGCACCCAGACCACTTCAGCTCAATGAAGTGGCCTGGGTGCCAGGTCCCCCTAGTTGTAACCCTGTAGCTGTAAACATAGCAGTTTCAGAGTTAATCCAGCCTCTAGTGGCTGTCTCCCTTACAGACACTAAAGGCAATTCTCAGTGTGGAAATCACATTGAACTCATGAGGCGTGAGTTCATATCCCCATAGGAAAACATTGAGTAATGCTTTCCTATGGGCGGTTTGAATGTGTGCGATGTTCTGGCCGCACTAGGGAGCTGAAGTCGGCAGGGTGAGGAGAGGTCACCAGTGCTGAGGGACCCCAGGCACTGGATTAAGGTTAGGGATTGGGGGACCTAATAACCCTACAGTGCCAGGAAAATGAGTTTGTTTTCCTGGCACTATAGTGATCCTTTAAACTGTAGTTGTTCTGGAGACTATGGTGCCTCTTTAATATATTCTATAGCTAATGTGTTAATAAAATTAAGAAAAAGTAAAACTGATACCCGCCCACGTTTTACAGCTTCTACAGTGTATGCTCAGGAGAAAGATAAAAAGAGTGCTAACTTCTGGCATTGTAACCCCTACAAATATAAAACATGATGTTGCTTTGCGTAACCATTTATATCTATTTCTGCTATGTGTTGAGTTGACATATATTTTTATTATGTAAATTACCTACATACTCTCTGTTAAATGGTTACTCCAAGAACCATGACCAATTCAGTGGATTTGAAGAGATGCTTGGATTCTGAATGTGCACATGCATTGTTAAAACACATTTCTGCCAGAGTTTCAACTCTTATTATGGGATCGCTAATGTTAATTCTCTGTGTTGCTGTCTCTAGTCAGTACTCGTATCACGGATAACTTGCCCTCAGTGTAGGATTACAGGTAAGTTTTCCTTTATTTCTTTATTATTTGTTTGTTTGTTTTTAAGGGGATGGAGCATGCCAACAATGGTTACCAGAACCAAAAACTTTAGGACAATGTTTTGGTTGGAGTAACCGTTTTAAAAAACCAATATTTAATGGCATATTCAACATAGCTGCTGTATGAATTCAAGATGGTAGAACACATACAAAAAATGTAGAAAACAAAAAAGAATGTTCTTGCAGGTTTCATTTGGATTTGATTGGCCTCCTTTGAATTTCATTTGAACCAGGGACTGATAGAGCTCTTTTAGTTTACTATTTGCAAATTGGGCTTATTTATATTTCATACTTCTCAATTTGAGATGCCATATAAGCAGCATCTCATTATCTAAAGATAATCATGATTGCTATTTCAAAAGAAACACAATACTCTCTATCTATTCCTTCATTTATGCCAGGATGGAATTCTCCTTGACTTTCCTCAACACTCCCATATCCCACCAGCAAATTTACAATCTTGTCCATGTGTTCCTCTATGTTGGTCTTCTCAAATCTACTCTTTCCTACAAAGGTTTGAATGTTCTCTTCTCACTCTGAAATCCTTCTATACACATGTGCTTCTCTACCTCTAATAAAAAGGAGAATAAACATTAAATTAACCTTGCCCCCAACAATCTGAGCTGCCAAGATTAGCCATCGCTGTTTTATGTAATGCTTCCCTCTAAGATATACCCAGGCCTTCATCTGTCTCATTCCTACTTATGCTAGTTTGAATCCAATATTTGATTACTGTTAGGTGTCCTGGAAAATGAAGTTGCATAAGAAATGTAAACAAGTATGCATTAGATATGTCCAGAAGGATGGTGTGTTAGACTATAGGAGTTTTAAGTACAATTTCATATTTAGTCCTTGATTTAATATGGTTGGATAAGCTTTTTAAACAATTTAATATATTGGATACAATTAAAATTATTTAATATTATGAAAAATATTTGAATTGTCCACACAGAGGACATAGACACACACACTCACTGCCAGATACACTGACAGACACATACACATTCTCTCACACATACTCACAAATTAATATTATTATTTTTTTATACGGGTTGAGAAACTAGGCACTATAACAACTTTTCAACTTTGCAAAATCATTGCATCCATATTCAGTTATATAACTGGCTGATAACAGCAGTAATTTGTAAAAAAAAACCACTGAAGCCATGTGCCAGCATTTGTCTTAGACACAACAAAATGAGCACTTTTTACTTCCTTTGCTGTGTCAGTTTTGTACGGTGAACACACCATGTGTAGAAGTAAGAAAGATCTTTTTTTCCCCAGACATAGTACTTTAAAGTTGCGTTACTGGGCAGTTATACTCATCCTACGCCGAACAAGGGTTCACATCCCACAGAATGAGAGGCTCCAGATTGGTAAATCCTCCCCCTTGTAGCTCAGTGACAGTTATAGAAGAAAAGGCTCTGCAAAAACTACCATTTTCTAACAGATTGTAATCATTTGAAAAGCCTAAACAAAAATATTAAATTGAGTTTTTAAATAGTTATTTACTTATTTTTGGACAGAGGAATATTTCACTTTTTCCTCCCTCACTAAACCTCAAATTAACATTGTTACCTTTCTATTTTCCTCTTTCTGGTGGTTTTCTTGAATCTGTTTTAGTTCTTGCAATTCTTTCTGCTTCCGATGGTCAGTCCAGAACTTGATTTTTTGCTGCTCTTTTATCAATTCTGCTTTTGCAGCCTCTTCCTGCTTCTTGTATCGCTCCTCAGCGGCTGCTCTGCGAGTCTCTGCTATCTGAGCTGCTAACCCTTCTTGGTCCTGTTTCCTCTCAACCTCAAGCTGGAGTCGTTGTTCTGACTGCAGCCTAAAGACAAGAAGATATCAGAACTTTGTGGTTATAAAAAAATAAGAATGGTTTTCATGTAGTGTAGGAGTGTACCTGCAGCAACTTATTACTGACTCAATCATTTACATGTTTGGGCTAATTAAACTTTAAAACTTAAATCTGGATTTTTTTCTCAATTCTACGATCGAATGGTTCACAACATTTTATTTGGACCAAGCACACTTCGTTGATGTGACATTTCTAAAGTAAGCCTATTTTTTAATTATATTCACGAGTGTCTTATAAAAATTGACAGTTACTTTGCAGCCTTACTAGAGAGGGATACAACACGTGAAGGACATACAGTGAGGGGGGAAAGTATTTGATCCCCTGCTGATTTTGAACGTTTGCCCACTGACAAAGAATTGATCAGTCTATAATTTTAATGGTAGGTGTATTTTAACAGTGACAGACAGAATAACAAAAAAAAATCCAGAAAAACTTTTAAATTAAATTACATGTCAATGAGTGAAATAAGTTTTTGACCCCTACTTGTTGGCAATCACAAAGGTCAGATGTTTCTTTTAGTTGGCCACACATCTCAGGAGGGACTCTTTGCAGATCCTCTCCAAGTCATTAAGGTTTCGAGCCTGACATTTGGCAACTAGAACCTTCAGCTCCCTCCACAGATTTTCTATGGGATGAAGGTCTGGAGACTGGCTAGGCGCGAGGGAGCTGAGCAGAGTGCTCAGGGGAAATGCTCCCTCGCCAGCCGCCTGCCCGTCAACGGCCACTGGACCCCAGGGAGATAGAGAACCCCTTCCCCCCCAGCACTCCCAAAGGTAAGGAGGGGGGGGGGTTTAAAAAGTGTTAATGTGGTGAGTGATTGTGTATGTCTGTTAGTGTGTGTGTGTGTGTGTGTGTGTCTGTTAGTGTGTGTGTGTATCTGTTAGTGTGTGTGTCTGTTAGTGTGTGTGTGTGTCTGTTAGTGTGTGTGTCTGTTAGTGAGTGTGTGTGTCTGACTGTAAGTGTGTGTGTCAGTGAGTGTGTGTGTCTGTTAGTGAGTGTGTGCTTGCCAGTGAGTGTGTGTTTCAGTGAGTGTGTGTGTCTGTGAGTGAGTGAGTGTGTTTGTTTGTTTGTGTGTGTGTGTCTGACTGTGTGTATGTTTGCCTGTGTGTGTCTGCTAGTGAGTGAGTGTGTGTCTGTGTGTGTCAGTGAGTGTGTGTTTCTGTTAGCTAGTTTATGCGTATCTGTCAGTGAATGTGTGTGTGTATTTAGAAGGCGGGGTGGGGGGAAGGGATGGAGGGGGGTTGCGCGCAGTTGGCGGGCGCCTGAGTTTTGTCCTGCCTAGGGCAGCACAAAACCAGGATACACCACTGGGGCTTGGGAACATGCTACATGCTCAAAGTGATGTTGTGAAATGTATCAATTATATGATGACTCTTTAGGAAGCAATTCCAGACAATTAATTATTGGTTACTAATAAGGAAAGTTATTTACAACAACCGTGCACATTTACTGCCATAATAAAGTTGGCCAGATCACCAACTTTTAATGGATTATAAAAGCCTAGCTTAATGAACTTAAGGGTAGATTGGGTAACCGCAGTACAGCAATGGAAGAGAAGCAGATGGAAGATGAGGGAACGGTCCTTTACTACTTGTAACCAACTATTCCAGAAAAGATGTCCTACCGTCTGCTGTCCTGGAGCATGTATTCTCTGTACTCCATATTTTGCATCTTCTCCTCCCTGCTCCTCACTCTCTGCTCAGCCTGTATTCTCAAGTGATTCATTTTTGCAGCTTCTTTTTGGTCTTTGAGCTCTTGAGATTTTTGTGCTTTCAGATCATGTTTCTATTGAAATTCAAATATATTATTTTACATTAATGTCTTTAAATAAATGCAGGATATTACTGGTCTATGATTCTTCTTTTGCAACTTATTACTATGAATGGTTTGTTCAATGTTTATCAATACTTTAACAATACAAAAGGGTAGTATGTGTGTATTCACTGATCTTAAACAGGATTAAAAGGAAAACTTTCTGGAAGAAGTAGGGAAATTATAAGATACTTTTTTAAATAAATAATTGTGGAGAGCTTTTCCTTTTCAGCAGAAGATGAAAACTAATACTGCAGGATCATTCACAGCCATGTTGCTCTTCTGATCTGGAAATCAAATGGATGAGGGGGGGTGGATAACTAGATGGGCCAAATAAATAACTTATCAGAATCCAATGCTGTACTCCTGTGCTAATGCTGGCATTATACATATATAACTTACTAATATCAATGGGGTGGTTCTAGGTCTCCTTTCACGAACTGCCGCTTCCAAAGCCAAACGGTCTTCTTTCATTGCCTTCTCGATACTGTGTAGGGTTTTCTGTAGGTGCGTCATGTGGCCAGTACTGTTTGGTGACGAATCTCTGTACGAAATATTAGGTAGGCTACCTAATCAAATGCAATATTAAAACACATTTGTAATAAAAGAATACAATGTGATCTCCAGAAAAAGACTTAGCCCAGTCTTCACAGTTGATTCCATCAAATTCCATTGTATGGAAAATGAGGAAACAAAATGTCTTTATTACATTGAGATAGTATTTAACGTGGAGTTTCTGTATGAGAGAGCCCCAGGTTATGACAAACCACTGAAATTTGGCAAAAAATGGGAACACTGGAACAAAAGACTACTTAGAGCGGCTCTGTCACGCCATTTCAAAAGTTAGTATTTCATAAATGGCAAATTTCACTGAAATTCCAACTCAGTCAAAAGATATACTGAGACAAAGTAGATATATGTCCTCTGCTTGAAAAAAGGCAGAGATCCTTTTGTCAAGTTTTTAATTCCCCCATCAGCTGTCACCAGTGACAGTTTTATGGGAAAAAGCTGATTCAATGAAGGAACTTGTGAGATCCTCCATAGACTTCAATGCTGTTCTCTCGCTGACGTCGGCTCCTAGCAGCTGAAGTGCCAGGTGCTAAAGGGAAGCAGATGGAAGCTGGCGGCGCCATGAGGGACAGGTTCAGGTAAGTAAAATCTACCTTCCCCTGCCCCTCATTGCCACCAGACCTCCAGCGATTAGGTCACTGACAGGGTTCTTTGCAGATTGTGCAAAGACCATAGTCGGTGACAGACCCGTTATGAAGCATGACCACTATAATAGGTTCTAGTGATTATGGTAATTACACTGTCCCATTAAGGAAGGTCTGGAATCTTTTCTGGGAAAGCAAGATATTCAGTATTATCCTATTTAACAAACAGGGTATTAACAGCTTGTTAATCCAAGGAGAAATCTAATTGCAACTTTTTTTTTCCTTTTTGTGACACTTCTGTAAATCTTGCAAGTTTTTTATTTTTCTTTTTTTTTTGTTTTTTTGAAGGGACACTGTAGGCACAGAGACCACTTCAGCTAATTGAAGTGGTCTAGGTGCAGTGTCCTTTTTGCACTTGGTGCTGCAATGTTAAAATGTTTCCAAAGAAACTGGAAACTGGACAGCCACTAGAGGGCTTCCTGTATCGAAACGTACCTCTGGTCCGGTATCTGGTGCTGGACGTCCTCACGCTCTGCATGAGGACCTCCACCATCAGGTTTTTCCCCATAGGAAAGCATTGATTAATGTCAGCAGTGGGGGAGAAGCATGGGCGGAGCCTGACCCAGCGCCGAGGAACATCAGCGCTGGATTCAGGTAAGTGACTGAAGTGTGGGGATCAACTACTTTCCATCAATAATAATAAAAAAAAAAACACTTAGATTTTTAATTCTGCATTCAGATTTAGCAACCATTTGATAATGTGATAACGACTGATCCTATTTTTTATACAATGTTATGAAGCCATTAGCTAAAGTAAAGTACTGACAATAATTGGAAAATCTCATAGCCCCTTATTTTACCTTTTAAAATACAGCAGAATAGATTGCCAAGGAATTGCACAGTATACATATTACCTTCATATTTTAACTCTGACTTAATAGGGCTGCATTGTCCTATTTTAGGATCTGTATTTCCTTGGCTGCAATGTTCTCCAGGGTGCATTTTGTTTTTTAAACCTCTGTTACAGAAATGGGATTCCTTCCGAGGCACCTACAAGAGAGAAATAATAAATGAAAGTTGTCTTTACAGTGACAATTACACTTAAATATGCTCAATAACAGAAAACACTACAACACTAAACAATAGATTGGGCACACTGAAGTAAGCACATGGAGCAAACAGGTAATGTTTCTTTTCATGCAGTGTAAAAGCTAAATACTGTTCCTGAGAATATAGATTGAACCATCTTTACTATGATGTATTTTCCCAAAACACACCTTGGAGGCCATTAACTGCCAACCAAAGCCATGAGGAAGTAAAGTAAAAGCACCACGTGTCAAAAAATAATTGGAAACACTTTGTAGGGGAACTATTCATCACAAACATATTTTATCAACACCATTAGCTTTTCTTTAAACAGGCAATATGAGGTTTAAGGGTGGTGGGGGTGGGTGTATGTGTACATAAGCAATAACAACCCCTGCCTGTGAGTGTAGAATAAAGAGCCTAGGTGTCTGACATGCGGCCCATGGGCCAAATGCGGCCCCTGGTTTCCAGGTGCGGCCTGCCACAGGGCCTCACTGAGAGGGCCCGTGCACTTAAGGCCACTCAACGAGACAAGGCCCCTGTGATGATGTCAGCGTTAACACAGAGCGCAGCATGGGAGGAGAAGGCAACGGGTGCAGACTGGGACTGGGACTCCCAACAGCCTCAGCCAGCCACTGGACTCCGGGGAAGTCACCCATCTGCATCCAAAAGTTTAAATTTTGCATGTTTGTCTTGTGTGTCTATATCTGCATGTCTATCTTTCTGTCTGTCTGTATGTGTATATATTTTTATGTGTATCTATCTGCATGTATGTGTGTGCCCCTGTGTATCTCTGTGTATCTGCCTTCTTGTCAGTGAGTGTATCTGTGCATATGTATGTGTGTCATTGTATGCACCTGTGTGCCTGTGTATCTGCATGTCTGTAACTGTGTGTGTGTATCTATATGTCTGCCAGTGTTTACATCTGTATGTGTGTCAGTGTGTGATTTTCTCTCAGTGAAAAATGAGTGTGGCCCACGCACACATACATTTATGATTAAGTGGCACACTGCAGAAAAAACTTGGACACTCCTTATCTAGAGGGAGCACAAGAAAGAGTTTGGCTTGGACACAATCATATTAGTTAAAGCCACACATTCACATCTGTAATTAAAGGAATACATTGTTTTTCTGTAATCTGAATGACGGTTTTCCATTTAATTCTGAAGATGATTTATGTTTTTGTACCAAGGAAATTACATTACTGAAAGTGCAGATGGATGGGATTGAGCTACCTTTGTACTTTTCTTTTTTGTTTTCTCCTGGTAACTGACATCTTGCTGTAGGACCTTCTGCTTCCCCATTCCCTTGCCTGCCTTCTTTTTTATCAATGCTGAGCTGTAGACCTGGTTTAATGACCTTTGAAAGGCAGCCCAGGGTTCTTCTGGCATGTGGCATTTCAGGCACACACCTTGTTCAGGACCACAGTATAGGCAGGAATGAGAGCCCAAACTATTGGATGGTTTCAGTGCCTCTTGTATTGGGCAACTGGAAGGTCTATACCCAAGAGGTGTGGGGAAAGGATATCCGGAATAAGATTGTACAAGCTTCCTACGAGTGTCCAATGGAATATGCAGCTCCAAGATGATGTGGTCGCACAAGCGCTGAGAGATCCAAACAGCCATTCCAGGAGGGATTCTCTTTGTCTTTCCATTCCAGAATGTTACTAGAACTCCATTACTTTCAAAGGCTGGAAAATAAAACACACAAGAGACTCTTAATGGGTCAGTATTGCTTCTAACCTGAGGAAGAGAGGGAACTCTCTAAAGCTTTTCTCGTTTGGGTAGTCCAGTAAAAAGGAATCACTGCATCTGCAATACTTTTGTTATTTTGGCATCAGAATTACAGGACTATTTAGACTACACCGATCTATATTCTCATCTTAATTGATATCACACACACTATGTATCCACTAAATAATGAATTAAAAACCAAAGTGCAAAATGAAGGCTAAAATAGACAAGCTAAAAAAATTAAGAATAAAATGTTTTTTATCTACTTTGCCCTATATTTTGCAATTCAGTTCTCCTTGTTGATTCATTGTTATGACGATTATCCATATCATGTAATACACTGCTAGCCAAGTCTAAGGCCTAAAAATTATCCATCAATGGAAAACCAGGAGGGTCCATGACACACTCACCATGGGTGAATTTCTTCTAACCAGGGCATAATTTTCTCTTGGCAGTGGGAATTGGAAATTTTTAGCACTATGTATATATTTATGAAAATGATTATTCTTGTATATGACATTCTTTAGACTTTGTAATGGACTGGACTCTGATATCTCCTCTTTGGCTACTAAGGTGCATGACATGCTTTGATTCTGTGCATGCACACTATTCAGCAGGGCATCTCTAGTGAGGCATAGGAATAAAAGGAATACTTTAATATCATATTAGCTGGGGAAATCTGGTCAACCTAAACCCACATGTACTCACTCTAGTGCCATACTGAGATATATGTATTTATCTCAGTTACATGTACATATATAACAAGGTATGCACACACAAGAGCTACACGTCGTACTGTTCCAAGTACATGAGAATGTCTGCGTCTCCTACCTGGCAAACTGTAAAAAACAGAGCAAGTTAGACCTTTAGTGATATTAATTAGTCATATATATTGTTGCAAATAATCTCCAGTTGCACATGGAGTCACTACTTTGGTATCAAAGTTCTTAGTCATCTGAAGGCACAATTGTGGAATAAAAACTTTACCAACGTTGTGGAGCACAGCCACATATAGACACACAGCATGGTGCCTGACTGAATAGTGCTAGGCTACACCAATTCTCAACGCTTGTTTTAACACATGAAACAAGTTTAAAAACTTGTTCTGCTGTGGTAACAAAGCCTTTACATGTATTAATCTGTCTCATATTACTATTACAGTCTAAAAAGAATCTGAGACATGAAAAAATATTCATATGGCGAAATATGACATTACTGAAGTATTATTCCTGTCCGGGGTCTGGGTACCTATAATAATGAGAAACTCTTCTATTCAAAACATTAGTTTGAGAGGCAGTAAAGGTAAGATTTGAGAGAAAATTAAGTCTTGAGAAAGTACATATTGTCCCTTTAAATATGTAAAATGTGTACTGAAACCAAATACAGGAAGTTGAGAAAAAAAAATAGAATTAAAGGGACACTATAGGCACCCAGACCACTTCAGCTCATGGAAGTGGTCTTGGTGCACTGTCCCGTGTCCATTAACAATGTGAAGGTAATTATTGCAGTGTTTAAGAAACTGCAATAATTAACTTTCATAGTTAACCCCACCTCTAGTGGCTGTTTACCACTAAAAGACAACCTCAAGAGGGACTTCCGGGTTGTAAGGCCACGTTGGGTCCCAGGTAAGTGACAGAAGGGGCTTGTAACCCCTTCTGCACCATGTGGGGGTGGCGTGAGGGAGGGGGAAGCTATAGTGCCAGGAAAACTATTTTGTTTGCCAGGCACTATAGTTTCCCTTTAAATGAAAATAAGGATTATAGCTATAAAAACAACTGATAAATAATATTAACATATGCAGAAAGGGCAAATTAGAGAAAATACCAACGTTGTGTTGCCTTAGAACAGATGAAGTAAAAGTAATATTTTGCAGCACATATTAGATTTTCACATTTTAAACAGTTTAAATAATATAAAACTTATTAAGAGATTCTTAAGTAAAATGTTGATTTGTCCTGTTTTATAAGATATCCATTGTGGTAGCATATACAAAGAAATGGAAAAAAAAATTTGCTTTAGTCAAAGTCCCACCTAAACTGCGCTCCCTGCTCTCTGAGCCCTGTAGTACGGTTCCAGGTGCATACTGCTCTATGTTGGATTCCAGGGGAGCTAGAACATGGTCTCCGGGTGATAAAGGTCTCCATCGGGCATCTTCATAGTGAATTATATAACCGACTTGGGTCTCCTGCATCCGGAATTGAGCTTTGCCCTTTAAAGAGCGACATTTCTCAAATTCGACAAGAAATCGATCCTTGGACCCCTAAGAAGAGAAAAGATGGTGACATTAGATAGCAGGTCAATTAACATTAGTAGTACAGAGATACACCAGCAAATAAATACTCTAGGAGACGCATGATTTAATGTTGAGCAAAAAACTTTAAAAAAAAGTTATTCACAAAAACAGCCAAACTGAAAACAGACGGCTTGGAGAATTTATCCAATGTGAATATTTTTACAGAAACTTTCAAGTTCACTTTGAATTCCTTCCTTATATGAAGAAACATCATATTTACTGAATCTTGCTTTAATAATTATCTTGCTTATCTACTGTTTATTTTGACATGTTTTCCATTTGCAAATTTTTCAAGACAATATTTTAATGGAAAATATGCCAACTATGAAATTAATTTAGCTTCTAGTAATTATACTGATGAGTAATTACACTGATAACATGTATTTTCAGACAGTTAATAGGAAGACTGTGATACCATGGAAATATAAATTACTCGGCTCTCCCAAAATGCTCTACAAACACATATCCATGGATGCCTGTTGCCAGCTTGACTTCACCACTACCACTCGGAAGACTAACCTCATGGTTTGAGATGAATTCAAATACTTTGCCTGAGGCACAACATCCCATCTCATGTGCTCATAAATATTTAAATGATTATAGAGAACTCAAGATGGGAATATTCCCAACATGATGCATTTCCTTGCAGAATAATATCTTCATATTTATACTGAAAACTTTTCTTATTAATTTTTATTGGAGAAGTACATTGTAGTCCATAAAATACTACAGTAAAAACCAAAGAAAAAAACATTACCTGCGCTCTTCCCAAATCCCTATGCATATTTAAATAAATGGAGGCTATTTAGTAACTCCAATGGCCATTAGATGGAAGCCCACACTGACTATTTACCTTGCTTCCTTGAGCTATCTCTAGTGAGACAGAGAGGGGTATTTCTCTTAACCCCTACATACTTATTAACAATTAATAGGGTTTGTAGTCACTTTTTGTATTTGTATTCACTTTTGTATCACACAGCTATATTACAATGCTGCCGCCCACACCATGTGTTCCCAGTTAAGGGTTAATAAATATGTAGGGGTTTAGAGAAATGTCTCTCTCTCTCTCATTAGAGATATCTTTGCCTATAGCTCAAGGAAGCAAGGTGAATAGTCAATGTAGGACCCACCCAAGAGGTTTGCTTTGACGTGGCAGGTGGGTATTCCCTCTAATGGCCACTGGACTAACTAAATAACCTCTATTTATTTAAATATGCATAGGGTTTTGGTAAGAGCGCAGGTAACTTTTTTGTCTTTGGTTTGTTTACTGTATGTATTGGGGCTGATGTGTACTATGGTCGTTGCTGCTGCCCAGGAGTAGTGGGAGTTTGAGCGCAGGACTTGGTTTTTGTATTTATATTCACAGGAAAGCTTTAATGGGTAGTAGAAGTTGTGGTTTCAAAACAATTTAAAAGACACACATTACTGGAAATCTGTGTTAATTTCTGTTCAATGTAGGTAATAACATTAGCAAAAAGGGTTTCATTTACTTCCCACAGAAATCTTACAGAACCTGATTTATATCTGTGGGGCCTACACAAAGACTGGATGGAGCACAAGAGGTCTACGTACTGAATTCATCATATATTACTGGGCCAGCCAACACCTAATATATAGTACGGGAAGTCTGACCCTACAAACTCACCTCTACTTCCTGTACGATGTGGCCAAGATAATAAAACCCATCAGTCTCTCTCCGTGCCAGAACTCGTGCTCCACGGAAAAGACAGAGAGCCTCAAGTGGAAGGTGCACAGAATCGCTGGTTGCTGTAAATTCTGCTGAATGCTTTTTACAAGCAGAGTAACAGGGCAATGGCAACTCTCTGTGAAAATTTGATTTGATCAGAAAGAATACATAGTACAGTAATTGTAGTACAAATACAGATACCTGAAACTAGGTGCTGATTACGCAGCAGTAAGCAACTTTCCAATTTTTGATATCAGGAAGAATAAAGTCTCAAATTGTATTGTACTTATACAAGTTATCAAATTATGCTGTAGGTATGGTTGTTAAGACTTTGATAGAAAAAGTGATCTATACGATGTATCATAAGATAATAATCAATGACATGCTTAGAAATGCACAGAAACAAATTATTTAATTTACCATAAATCACATTTGGAAACAAAGAATTTTTAATTTATTCAGATATGTGTCGTGCTTTGTGCATATATACATATCCTTTTAGGGAAAATATATTTTTAAGAATGTATTCTGAGAAGGGACCCAATATCTCCTTGATTGATACATACCTAAGTTCATGGTACAATGTGGGTGACTTTCTACAGAGGTTTTGGTTCATGCAACAGTGGTCGCTATGAAAACGACCATCATTAGTAACCTAAAAACCATAAACACACACAGATTTTCTCAATTAAATGTCATATACTAAAAGCTGAAAAATTCAAAGTTGAAAATGTTAATCGAAGAAATTAATTAGTCGACTTAAAATCAATACTGGACAGAGGTCCACGGCAACTCAAAACATAACGAACAGCGTTCTTTTTTTTACCTCAAAAACATACTTGCTGTTAGACCTGCCCACAGAGCTCCGCCACTACAAACAGAACATTATTCCACATATCATTCTAACGGCACAACAATTAATAGCAAGATAATAGAAGTCTCCTATTTCTCCCAAAAAAGAGGACCTAGTCGGAGACCTGAATAAACAATGGATCTATGAAACTTCCTATACATCGGTCTTCCCCCCACCCTTCCACACTTTACAAAAAAGCTCTGGCACACATTGAGATCAGGTACCTCATGAACATTGTAATTTCATGTGAACACTGTAAGCCAATCTCTGACCTCGCTTGCTGTGTAACTGAAGCGGGCCACCTACACCTTCTCCCTTTATCATATACGAACCATACTGACATCAAGACAGACTATATATCTTATTGTAGCAACGCTCTATAACTGTATGAAAAGTGCCACTCAATTGTACTTAATTGTACTCAATTAAACTCATCAGTATTCAAATGTATTTACAATGCATTATATCAAAAATGACTCCCCCTCTTCCCCCTCCCCCCCTTTCTACCTTTATATGAAAAATAAATAAAAACTCCTAAATGGGAAAAAAAAAAATCAAACTCCAGAAAATAACATTAGAATTTTCATATTTTAATAAATGTTCTGCTATAGGTAAGTTAGCATAAGCCACAGTTTAGGAATACCTTATACATTTAACTTACCGTACTTGAAGATCCTGAGGGTTTAAGATTAATCATTTTAAAGGAACCCTCAGTTTGGCTATCAGATGGTTCTCCCAAAAGGTAAATCACAGTCACAGAGCAGGAATTCTTGTAACTGCCAATCAAACTGTAGATCCCCTGCAGCACAGTTCCAGGGAGAGCATCAATCACCAGATACACAGACTGGCACTCACGATCCTCGAAAGCTGCAGTCAGGGCATCAGTAGTACTGGCACCAGAATCACATACCAGACTTTGGACCCATGATGTTGCTTGGGCAATAGTATCTGGGTTACATCTCACCGCACAGTTACACCATTTTGTAATCTAAAATTTAAAAGTGAGAAAAAAACATTACCAAACTAGGTACCCAAATGTGTTCTTCTATCGGGAAAATATTTTAATAGATTGACATTAAGTATATGATAGTCTTAAAATAACTAAATCCTTATTCCTCTTCCAGTAAAAATTTCCATAGTTTTGCTCGGAGTTTTCAACCAGGATTAATTAGGCTCCACAAGGATTCATGGACTATATAAATCCATTAAAGATAATGGCGTTAATTCTGGATTAAACCAGCAGTCGTGGCTTGATTTCTATTTGGAACACTTAGACGAACTGCTCCAGCATTGCAAGAGACAGGCTGCAACTAATCCCTGGCATTTCCATGTAAATGATTACAGTGAGTTGCATGCTGAAAAAGGCTTTTATACAAAAACAGCACCCTGTCGACCTTAGGGAAGAATCAGGAGGAAGATCTGAAGGTAAGTCTACATCCCCAGAAATCACTTCAACAGTGAAAAGCATGTAACAAGGTTTGTGAAATGCGACTAACAGTGGTGAGGGACCCTCTCTATCTTGGTATCCTTCTGATAAGGGGTGCACATTTCCAGCCGGTGCTCATACTACGGATCTCATGATGTCACTGATAACGTTAGAAGATCTTCAATTGTGCATGCGTGACTACACTTCAGGCATTCCTCTGGATAGGACACTGATTGGGTAGATCAGCGTCCACATAGCAGGGGGTGTAGAAACGCCAGAAGAAGCAGGCAAATGTAAATAAAATGATATTTACCTACTTATTCAGCTTGCAGAATGAGACAACAGTCTTATTCAAAACTAAAATATTTGAATGAGACAGTTGCATGTCCCTTTAACATCCCCTGTTCACTTTTTGTAACCCACACTACAGCCCTGAGATGAGAAGCCCTGATATAACTAGTTTAATAGCGAAACAAACTAATGCAATTATTATGGAAAATTGAAAGTGTGCAACCTGGTGCTCTTAAATATTAGGAACATGCTTACCTCGCACGAGAAATAAATGATATTAAACAGAGAAGTCGTCACGTTGTTCACTATGTTGTGCAAAGCCTTAGAGACATAATTCTTCAGGAGGTTTAATTTAACAGGGTCACCCTCCAAAGAGCCCATCACAAATGTCACATTTCTTCCATGGTATTCAGGAAACCAGGACCGTGAGCAACCCAGATTGTGAACAGCAGGCATTGTGCTGTAACTACTTCTAGGATCTGATAAGGAAGCAAACAGAAGCAACATATTCATTTTTGTAAAATGACAAGCATCCTACGGGACAAACTCAGCAAGTGTTTCCAGGAGCACAAGGACAACAGCAACAAAGACAAAAAAAAACCAATTCACACCCATTGTCTCTATTTACTTTCCCTGTCCTCTGCAGTTGGTTTCTATAAATGCAATAGTCTCACTAATGAAATCTTTACCCCATCATGTATTATTCATATGTAAAAAGATTATAAAACAACATGCATACTATTGCAAAGGACAAATATAATATAGAGATTGTAAGAGTCCTGCTTAACCAAACTTACAATCTAAACAGAGTGTTGTATATATAACACAATGTTTAAGTAGATCCTACTCAAACTGAATACTGATTGCTATCTGGGTTATTTAGTAAAGTGTTAATTGACAGACATTCAAAGAGAATTTCACATTTTTTTCAAAATAGCTGAATTGGAAACATTTCTTATGTCACCTATTTCTTCAGTTCAGCTATTTTTTGACTAAATTTACTCACATGAACAGAAGCAGCAACAATCATAGACGAAAAAATTTCAGATACTTACATCTTTTATTCTATATATTTTCTGCCATTTTTGATCAACGTATTGATTAAATGTACAGTATAAACTTACCTGGCCACTTTAATAACATATCCACATAACCTTAGGCACCTAGTTAACAATGTGAGTAAGAGCTCTGGAAATTAGCAGTTAATTAGTGTTATTATTATATTATAAATCACCAACATATCCAAAATCATTTTTGTAAGACAAATGTTATTATAAATGTAAAAAACTAGTAACACAACTAGTTTCAAGAGGAACTGAATTCTATCCTACTTGTTATGACTCCATTATGACTCCAGAGCTATTAAACACATACACGTTTTATTACAGGGGCACACTAAGTACCAGAACCAATACAGCTTTATTTGTAAACACTGTCTTTTGTGTGAAAAGGCAGCATTTACATTTGTCCATAACAATACTTTTATCTGTTTTTACTCAGAAAATCACTTGATGTACTTCCTAGTTACAGTTCTAAAATATTTGATGGATCAACATTTGGCATCCTCACACTCTGCAAGAAGATGCTGAACGCTTTGCATCGATGTGCATTCCTAGAATTCATCTCTATGGGGTGGTGCTAAATGGCGCAAGGCAGCAATGGGCATGCAGGCACAATAGGCAACCCAATGCTTCAGAATGGCAAAGTTCACAAGATTGGCAGACATTGGAGAAGCATCAGATTGGCAGAGACCATCATTGATGTTTGTTAAACATGTTGTTTGAAATAAATGTTTGTAAGTATAATGTTTGAATTTCCTTTTAACATAGACCTGTAAACGGCAAAATTTATATAATGAACAAGGGCAGAAATGTGTAAGAAATAATATTTGTTTTTAGCTTGATCCCAAAGATATCTTGAATTACTTGTTTTAATCATGCCAAAGTGAGACAGCAAAGCACTGATGAGTAATTACAATGTAATAATTACTGATGAGTAATTACAAATTGTAATTAGAAATTTGCTGTATCTCGTAGAACTTGTGACAGTAATTACCATTACTGGGAGCTTAAGATAGAAATTATGTTTAAGTCACCCATAGGCGTGCGCAGCCTATTGCATTAGGGTGTGCACCCTAAAGCACAAGCACACGCCGCATATATATATGTATGTGTGTGTGTGTATATATATATATATATATATACACATACACATATATACACACATACACACACTGCTGTGTGTGTGTGTGTGTGCTGTGTGAGGGTGCTGTTAGTGTGATGTGTGTGTGACGATGCTGGTAGTGTGCTATGTGGGTGAGGGTGTTTGTGTGTGCGTGCTTGTGAGGATGCTGTTAATGTACTGTGTGTGAGGGTGCTGTTTGTGTGTGTGTGTGTGCGCTTGTGAGGGTGCTGTTAATGTACTGTGTGTGAGGGTGCTGTTTGTGTGTGAGGGTACTGGTAGTGTGCTGTGTGTGTGTTTGTTAGGGTCCTGTTTGTGTTTGTGAGGGTACTGTTAGTGTGCTGTGTGTGTGTGAGGGTGCTGTTTGTGTGCTGTGTGTGTTTGTGAGGGTGCTGTATGTGTGTGGGTGCTGTATGTGTGTTGGTGCTGTGTATGTCTGTGGTTGCTGTATGTGTGTGGGTGCTGTGTGTGTCTGTGGGTGCTGTGTGTGTCTGTGGGTGCTGTGTATGTCAGTGGGTGCTGTATGTGTGTGGGTGCTGTATGTGTGTGGGTGCTGTATGTGTGTGGGTGCTGTGTATGTCTGTGGGTGCTGTGTATGTCTGTGGGTGCTGTATGTGTGTGGGTGCTGTATGTCTGTGGGTGCTGTATGTCTGTGGGTGCTGAATGTGTGTGGGTGCTGAATGTGGGTGCTGTATGTGTGTGGGTGCTGTATGTGTGTGGGTGCTGAATGTGTGTGGGTGCTGAATGTGTGTCTGTGGGTGCTGAATGTGTGTGGGTGCTGTATGTGTGTGTGCTGTATGTCTGTGGGTGCCGTGTATGTCTGTGGGTGCTGTGTATGTCTGTGGGTGCTGTATGTCTGTGGGTGCTGAATGTGTGTGGGTGCTGAATGTGTGTGGGTGCTGAATGTGTGTCTGTGGGTGCTGAAAGTGTGTGGGTGCTGTATGTGTGTGTGCTGTATGTCTGTGGGTACCGTGTATGTCTGTGGGTGCTGTGTATGTCTGTGGGTGCTGTGTATGTCAGTGGGTGCTGTGTGTCTGTGGGTGCTGTATGTGTGTGGGTGCTGTATGTGTGTGGGTGCTGTATGTGTGTGGGTACTGTGTATGTCTGTGGGTGCTGTATGTCTGTGGGTGCTGTGTGTCTGTGGGTGCGTGTTGTATGTGTGTGGGTGGTGGAAGTGGGGGTACATTAATTGCTATCCCCCCTCCCTTCTTACCTTTTGTAGGGAGGGGGGATCGTGCTGCTTCCTTCCCTGGTGGTCCAGTGGAGGAGGGGATCCTTGTGTCTGCTGCCATCCCTGGTGGTCCAGTGGAGAGTGAACTCTAACCCCTGTGGGGCTAGAGTTCACTCTCGCGAGATTTGAGCGTTGCCGTGGCAACGCTCATATCTCGCGAGAGGAACCCGGCGGAGCTGCCGGCAATAGATCCGCCGGGTCCTCTCCTGCTTCCCTCCCTGCATGTGGGTCAGTGGGGAGGGAGGCTGAGAGCAGAGCCGGCGCTCAGATAGCGCCGGCTCTGCATGAGCCGACAGGGGAAATCCTGAGATCTCCCCTGCCGGTCTCAATACACATAGGCGTGCGCGGGATTAGGGTGTGCCCAGGCACACCCGGCACACCCCGTGCGCACGCCTATGAAGTCACCCTGTGCCCATTATGGTGCAGGGTGTGTGTAATGTGGTTGTTTGGGTTTAAATGTTTTGTATGCTCTCCTGTCCTTCGGATGCTCGCTACCAGCTAGGTGGATTTGGCTATGGAGCCTGCATAATCGCCATCTGTTGGTAGCAACAGCTATATACACTACCTGAATAGAAAGGCTAGCTAATTTGCATATTCAGGTATATTTACATATGGCTAATTCTTCAGGCAGGAGAGATATTTTGTGCTAATTATTGTCTTCCCTACCCTTTTATTAATATGTTTATGTGTTATTGTCATGGCTGCTAGTGTGGTCCAACACGCAGAAACTATATAAACATATACATAAAAAAGGAAAGGAAATAAAAGGACAGAACGTAAACCTGACCTTAGAATGGCCGGACTAATACGCTAGAGATAGAGAATGGTCAAAGGGAAAGCCGAGGTCATGGAAGCCAGAAATACTCAGATACCGTTAAAACAAGCCAAGTCAGGGGAACCAGAATTCGGAATAACCAGGGAAAAGCCAAGATCAGGATACCAGGAAGTCAGATTCACAAAGATAAACGCACTCTTGGGAACCAGGAACAGTAAACCACGACAGGGGAAGGAACTGGAGTGAATTAGGGATTTAAATATCCTTCTCTGGGCTCTGATTGGTCAGAGGGTGACCTCTGACCCCAGAATGTGCGCGTGCGTTGACGTCGTGACGTCACGCGCACGTCCATATAAATTTGAGGGGCGGAGCTTGTGGTGTGCTCGACCACGTGGTCAGCGCCATCTTTGATTTGGGCGCAACGCCCAGAAGACGCGGAGGAGCGGTTCCCTGCTCGCCGACTAACAAGTAAGCTCGCAATATCGGCGAGGTTGTGCCGGTCGGGCACGGCTGCGCCATGCGGCGGGCCGGGAGCCGCAACAGTACCCCCCACTCGAATACCGCTCACCAGGCGGGAAGGAGCCGGCTTATGAGGGAAGCGGTTGTGAAACGACCGGATAAGACGGGGCGCATGAACCTGGTCAGCAGGAACCCAACAATGTTCCTCAGGACCATATCCTTTCCAGTCAACTAGATAAGACAAAATACCCCTGGAGATTTTGGAGTCCAATATAGAACGAACTTCGTACTCCTCCTGATCACCCACTACTAAGGGCGGAGGAGGGGTAGTCACTTTAGTCTATCGATTGCAAGTAAGAGGCTTAAGCAAGGACACATGAAATGAATTGGCAATTCTCATGTGAGCAGGAACTGTCAATGAATAAGTCACAGGGTTGATACGACGGAGGACCCGAAAAGGACCTATGTACCGAGGGGGAAATTTCATGGAAGGAACCTTAAGTTTGACATGACGTGTGGATAACCACACCTTGTCTCCTGGTTGATAGACAGGATTGGCACCCCGTCTCTTGTCAGCTTGGATTATAGCACAGTTAGATGCCTTCTGTAGTGCTGTATGAACGGAATCCCACATGTCATGAATAGAATCCAAATGGGTGTTCAAGGCAGGAATATCAATGTCTGAAGATTCAGAAGGTAAAACAGTGGGGTGATAACCCTGATTTACAAAAAATGGACTATGATTAGAGGATTCATGAGTCGCATTATTTCTGGCAAACTCAGCCATGGGTAAGAGTTCGTACCAGTTAG